GAGCAAAATCATTCAAGTTCAAAAACACCGCGCCGAAATTCGCGATTCCTGCCCACTTCGGGACGGGGTCTCGCCGGCTGCTGCAAGCGAAGAAAGGGGAAACGTGTGCGTTGAAAAAGACTGGGTTCAACGATCTCAGGAAAATAAAAGTCCGTGAAACACGCGCTTTTAGCTTAATGAAGCATTTTCATTATGTTGTAATTCTACAGACGTAACGCGCGATTGTTCTTTTCTTGATATTCACAGGGCATTAACACAGACACAGAATCAGACACAAAATGAATAATTATATTTAAGACAGTAAATAACATTTGATTTAAATTTTGATCAGTGTGTAGGACCATTTTCGTTTGCAGATTATTGCTCGTACTGCTCATATCCGTATCTTTTTTTGTTTACATTTAAAATGTCCATTGGTACGTGCTCAGTAAATAAGCTTATTTAAATTTCCAAACTTTTGGGTATAAGTTATCGTCATAATAAGTGAAATCTTGAGCTTTCGATAGCATATAATACGTAATGTGGTTCCTAATCTGAGCAGACCTCCGTCTAGGTACATTTCATTATAAAAATGAAGAATAACTAAAACAATCCCTGTGCATCTCCCCACCAGGTTCAAATATTAATTCAGACGATGGTTTGCTGATTTGACAAATACCGCAGAAGATTTTTAATAACTATATACATTTTTAGGAACATATATCAATAGACCAATTTCCCTTCATCGACTGCTGGACATATTTCACCAGTACAAAATTATGTATTTTTTCGCAATATCATTTATAGATTTTTTAAACAGTATGTATTATTGCATATCAAAGGTAAGGTTAAGGGTATATATATATATCAATTTAACAAGTAATAGGTTTATTCCATGCTGAAAAAAAGAAGAACTATATATTAATTTAGTTTTACACTAGATCATTCTTGGTTACTAACATTCCTGTTTACTGTATTACGTGTGTACTGCTGTACAGGATTTTAAATTTAATGAAAATTGTTCATATAATTAACAGTACTATAGTGAAAACGAGCTAAATTTAGCAGGGAATGACAGAACCTGGCACTAATACCGATGAATAATGGACGATTTTAAAGTACTGTGGAGCGAAATTGGGCTTATTTGGTTTTAGTTTGTGAAGTTGTTTAAGCTTGGATTTGATCTCTTAAAACTGAAGACATTGTTGCATTTCCAAATCTGACTACTTTAAAACAACATCCTTATTTTGCGTGCGGAATATTTGACGATTTCTTTAAGGTGAAGTTCATTTAAGTTTTGCAGTTTAGCGCACAGATCAGCTGAGACAGAAGCGCAGTTTGAGCACTGTCGGAGTACGTAGAAGTGAAAAAGCCTCGTGCTATTACTTATTCTAGTCATTAAAGTCCTATCTGGGGTTTAATGAATAAGCTAAACAGTAACTCCATCCGGGGCATGTGGTGTTCTAAATGGCGTCTGCAGGCGCATTCTATACCCTTAAGGTCTAAATGACCCCTTATCTACGAACTTGAAGTCTAGCACAAGAGCTGTCTTGACTGAGGCAAGTCGGAGAAGAGACCCGTGCAGACCGAGAGCGAATTCACCAAACAGTCGCACAAGCAACGATGGGATGAGGCCTTTGTTCTGTTCTCATTTTTATTGTAATATCAAATATGTAATCTATACTATATAGATATATAGTATAGTACAGATAGTATAGCTCACACCTGAAGAAGGCTCCACGGCCGAAACGTTGTTTTCTGTCTCGTTTTTCTCTCTTCTTTTTTTCAGCATGGAATAAACCTATTACTTGTTCATCTATACTATATGTCATGATATGTTATGGCGCCTGTGAATCAAACTACAGTAGATTGAAATGTCAATCCTCATAAAGAGGCAAAATCAGGACTATGTCGCAAAGGAGATTTAAAAAGTCGGGTTGACTCTAATTGCATTGTCTACTAAAATACATACAATTTGTCTTTACTAACTTGTTGAACCATACTGTAGGTAAATAATGGAATTTTGCTAAAACTATTTAGTACTACATCATACTAAACTAATTTTACCGGCTTCTTCAAAGTTTGGCTTATTGTGTACAAAATGAGTTTTATTTTACACATCACGACATAAATTTCTAACGCACTTTTTTTAGTCTGAGACATCTTATTCACTCAATACTTTACAATATTTATCTAAGTCCTGCAAATTCTAAAGTGAGTAAAATGTGTAATAACTGCAAAACGCCGCCTTTGTTCAATTCATCTAATCGCACCGACCTGAGTAAGTTCTTTGTATCCTCCACTTCTGATGTTTGTCTCGTTTCATCTGAGGGTATCGCGAATTCCATGTAGGTGGCGTCTGTATATCGCCCTTGGTCAGCTCTGTCGTGTCTGCTCTGACAAAAGCTGAAGTTGACTGCCAAAAGCACTATAAAACCGCAGGTCAGTCTTGAGCTGTTTCTGGTTTTCGCAGGCGCCCTGTATTCAATTATAGCTTAAAAGCCGTAATACAAGTGCAGAATTTGTCTGCATTCACACAGAGGCGGAGCGAGGCCCCGGGAGGAGAGAGACCGAGTTCTGCTGTTACAATTATTTAAATATGCAACGTCCTATAAGACGATGATTAATGGTAATATTTTACTTTTTTCCTTAGTAATTAACATTTGAGCCCCATTTAATTTTCCTATTTTACTGGACTTTTAAGCTCACTACTGCATTAAGTCGATTTCATCCGCCTTGTGTTTGTCAATGGTGTGCAGGCCTAAAGGTTTAACACAAAGCGCAAAGGCAGCGCGGAGATACAGTACTCTTAATCCATGTAGGTCTCTAATTTACACTTCGCAGATTTTAGGAACCGGGATATTTTTTAAACAGCTCGTCCCCCATGCTGCCACAGAACAGCACGGCGTGCAACCCCGGTGATGTGTTTAAAGAAACATAACGACAGGGACAGAAAAGAGAAACACGTGGCAAATGTGCTTTTCACAGATTTTTATCCCTTCAAATCACGGCTTCAATGATATGAGCATAACACTAATATCAGAAGAAACCTTTCTCCTATTCAACAAGTAGTGCTAAATAAATAAAATCCGAATAATTTGACAGTTTAAAACAATATTATGCAGATACGTGTTAAAGAATAAAACATGGAACTTGTTTATTTGCTTAGCAGTCTCTTTTTTTCCCAGCGTAATGTTAAACACACACGTTACAAAAGTGCAGGAAACAATCCCGCGAGTACAGCATGAGGAAATGCGATGTAGTTGTTGTCATTTTAAAAACGGATAATAATGTACTTTTAACCTCGAGACATCTATGTTGAGGTAGGTGGCTAAAAACTTGACTGTAATTGCAAAGAGTCGGGTTTGTAATAAATGAAAAGACCAATTAAACGAGTTTTCTTGGTGTGGGCCTGCTATTAACTTGATTTCCGAGATTGTATCCTTTATCTTCTCGAAAAATCTAAATATGAAGAACAGGAAAATTAAATGAAACACATGTACTACAGACTACGGTTTCCAAAAGTTCTTTTTTTACCGTGTTTGGGTACATAGCTACTTTATTCTCTTCAAAAATGACATTTTTGATTGAAATTTATATTTGATTGAAATTTAGAAATACACTACAGTTCCAACAGCAAAGAAGCAAGGAAATATTCTGTTAAGATCGAACAGTTCTGTGTTACCCTTCTCGCTTTCACTAAAATGTATTTAAATGTATCCTATTTTAATCAAATTTATTATGTATTTCCCATTTGCTTCTATATTGCCTGGCTAGAGTCCTGCACGCTCTGACAGCGCCTACATAAAAAAGCTAAATGTTTCTCTTGGCAAACACATTACTTTCCTAAGTAGTTCAGCTTTATTATTAAAATTTCATCTTTAGACGTATTAAATCAAACCCTCATCATAATTTAACGTGTAAAGGTACATTTCCGAGTATCACACACAGACTTATAAACCTATTTGTACTTTGGCTTATATCTCACTCTGCATATTTCCTTATATATTGAACATACATGTGGAGCGAATAGCATTCTTGTGATTGCATTGTATTCCACAAATAACAGAATTCATTTCAAATGAACGTCGGTTACAATCCGATTTAGTCACAAATGTAGAAATAAAAGGACACATTAGGAAAAGAAAACACGGTGGTGTGTCATGTTCCTCTAACCTACACAGCAGTGTTTGGAATTATTGGTGTGCGACATTAGCATAAACTGGGACATTTCCATATCTCTCCAGATACCGAAAACAACGCTCGGATGCTACAGTGCCGCATGGAAAAGGACTGATTAGTTTTCCCGGTGTTACATTCGTGCAATTGAAACACGGCTCCTTGGAAAGTATATTCTGGAAATGAGACGTTTTTCAATTCACTTTGCATTTTTATGTTCATGTAATATCTGGGCTATCACAAATTGAGCATGAACGTGCTCTATTTCCCCGCGCGCGTTTCGTGTAAAGATAAGGAAATTCTGGATATATTGGCTTGAATTGGAAATAGGGCATCATGTGCGCTTAGCGGAAGGGACTATATAATACTTCAGTTTGGACCAGATGTGTGGCTTGAGGCGTAACTGCTATATTCTAACTACATGTTAACTCGCTTTAACAATTGGGATATAATTCACAAACCACTCTTAATGTGGAAAATGATGGGAGTTCACAGGAAGGTATGTTTTTAAAGATGAACATGATTAAGAGAAATAGACCTACATATGTTTTTGATGGTCGTATACTTCTCATGGATTAATATGTCAGGCAAATGGCAACGCAGCTATAAAATATTTGTTACACTCCGGGTAGTACTGTAGAAGATGCAGCGAAGTTGCAGAAACGCGTTACAGAAAACATGCAAAGACACATCTTTTTGCACTATTTTTGTGTTGGCTACACGACGGAGCCATTTGCAGCTGTAGCTGGACTGCAAGACAAAAGGACGTGTCTGATTACACGGAAACGTTGAGTCTTTTAAACAGAAATCCCTTCATAAAACACCTATCGATGCGAAAGCTCGGGATCATTAAAACTACAGCCTTAGCCACAACCCGAACAAAGAAGGAAACACTCCTGTTCAGCGCAGAAGAAGGAAATACCTCTAACACACACTCACGTGCACGCGCGTGTACTCACACACACGCACACGCACACATGCAGGCACGCTCACACACGAGAAAAAAAAATCTGTCAATTTCTGCCTGCGATCACATGACCTGCACCTCCCTGTAATGGATGGAGATGGATCTCCACGTCAGCTTACGTCTCCAAATTTTTACTCCGCGGATCTGCTTCAAAGAGGCAGGAGCAGCAGCGAAGGAGAACCATGTTGAGAACGGCTATTGAGGAGAGCCCAAGGTAGAGTAATGATGGATTTTGATGAGCGGGTTTCTGTTGGTTCTAACATGTATTTACCCAGTTGCACGTACTACGTCTCGGGTGCTGATTTCTCCAGCCTCCCTTCTTTTTTACCCCAGACCCCGTCTTCTCGCCCCATGACGTACTCCTATTCCTCTAACCTGCCCCAGGTTCAGCCTGTGAGAGAAGTAACCTTCAGGGACTATGCCATTGATGCCTCCAGTAAGTGGCATCACAGAAGCAATCTCTCCCATTGCTATTCAGCTGAGGAGATCATGCACAGGGACTGCCTACCTGCCCCTACAACCATGGGGGAAATGTTCGCGAAAAACAGCTCCACTGTCTACCATTCAAGCTCCAACTCCGCGTCCAATTTCTACAGCGGTGTGGGAAGAAACGGTGTCTTGCCCCAAGCTTTTGACCAGTTTTTCGAGACGGCGTACGGAAACGCGGAACACCAGCCTTCCGACTATCCTGGAGATAAAAATACCAGCAAATTACCTACTACTGCAATGCCCGGGTCTGACACATACGGGGAGACAGAGGCGAAAGAGCGGAGAGAAGAGAGCAGCAGCCCCGAGTCCTCTTCCGGCAACAATGAGGAAAAATCTAACAACACCAGTACGTATAAAGACAGCGCCCCAGTTATGAGAGAAACTTTGCAATCTAGCGCGCTGCTGTTAAAATTTTTATATGCTGTTTTATAAGCATATAAGGTTTATGGAGGGCCTGTAGATTTCCCCAACAAAACTTTGTTATAAACTGCATGATCACGTGCTTGGGATTGAAATTGGCCGTGAAATACCTCGGGCCAATTGCTGGATTTAGAAAAGTAGCCTATTGATTACAGAACGTTTTGAAATATATTGTCTTGATAGTATAAGTGGCGCTTCTGGTAGGTGAGATTATTATTATCGTTATTATTATTTGGTCTCCTTTTTTGTTTCATGAGGTATTCGTAATCTGCATGTTTACACAGAATATGTAGAAGAGATTCATGCGGTTTTAATGTATCGTACTAGGGATTGTTAAAACACACGAAGGGCCGACTGAATGACGATATCGTGCAGTGGTATATTTCTAAAGTGTTCTTCAGATTGCGAAATAATTGTGTTTTATACCTATAGATTTGAACAGAATGTTACTTTCTTTGATTGTGTATTTATTTGTTTTAATGTACACCACCGCTTTATATGAGGAAAACTGGCTGTCAAATTTGCCATTAATAATAATAATAATAATAATAATAATAATAATAATAATAATAATAATAATAATAATAATAATAATACCGTGCATTTTACTATTGAAATAGTTTGCATATTTGTGAATTTTTAATCATTCGGGATTGCGGTTCCTTGTTGCTTAAATAAGGAATTACAAACTTTTACGTGGTACTGTGAGACAGACAAAAATATTTCTGAAAATAAAATCTCATCTAAGAATTTACAATATTATCAATTTAGGTTCAGTCGCCCTTCTTTTTTAGATGCTAAATTGCATTTTTTAAAACGCACGTTTCGTGTCCCAGCTCTTCCAGCTAACTTAATGCTTGCTTTCTTTTCGCTTTTTTACAGGTGGTCAGCGCACTCGTAAAAAGAGATGTCCCTACACGAAGTACCAAATCAGAGAATTAGAAAGAGAATTCTTCTTCAGTGTTTATATTAACAAAGAAAAGCGTCTCCAGCTCTCAAGAATGCTCAACCTCACCGACCGCCAAGTAAAAATTTGGTTTCAGAATAGAAGAATGAAGGAAAAGAAATTGAACAGAGATCGATTACAGTACTATACCACCAATCCGCTGCTTTAAGACTGCGAGTTCCACTGACACACCTTCTCTCCTTCTGTTGTGATAAGACCGAGATGAAACGGTTAATTTCAAGTTCGAGGCTACAGATTCCTGTCTCCAAACTACGAAAAGACCATTTAAAAGTGGACTTTCTGACTTCATTTGTACATTTGCTGTAACAAATAACTGGAGCGCATTTCCCTTCTATTCTTTATGCCCTCGTTTACTTTACGACACTCCTGAATACAGAACCGATTTATTTCTGTATATTAAAATACATCTTTGACAGTCTTCGGCTACAAAGCTTATATTTGAGACCGCCAGTGGGCGTTTGTAAATCAGAGACCCGAGTCTGCATTATTTTTCCTTGTTGTTTTATCGGATAAGCTATGATAAATCGATGGCGGACAGAGACCCAACGTACATTTTAATACTGACACCATATTTCTGGCAACGGACCTTAGTGTAAACCACAAAAAGCAGTGGATATACTATTAATGTTTGATCACACAGATACATTATACTGTTCACCACTCTATTTTAAAATGTTTAATCTGTATATTTTTGACTTCCAATATTAAGTGACGTTTGTAGCACCAAAAGGGCGCTTTGATATACCATTGATTCCCGTAAATGCCCATGTGAGCTCTCCGTTTCCTGACTATTGTGGTGGGCCTACTTTATGTGGCTTTGATACCATACGAATTACAAATATACCCGCAGCAGAAAATCTAAATGTAAATATTAAAAACCTATTTTATCGCAAGTTTAAGTTTCGCGTTTGTGCAATGTACTGTACACAGAGACATAAATTTATCCAGTTAAATGTTTACTTTCAGAGCACGAAACAGGTATGTTACAAGCAGAAATGTCTTAACGTAGTAATGATTATGTTGCTTGAACAGAGTATGATATTTGCGTGTTTTCCTTTATCATAAACCGAAGAATACACATATGTGCGCCTGAGATTAGATTCAGTCTTTTTGTGCCAAAGGAAAACCGTTCCGTTACTATATACATGGAGATCGTTGCACAATCAGTGTAAATTCAAAATGTTTGTACATGTGCCTGCAGACACAGCAGTTAGATCTTTAAATTCTGGATTGTAATGCTTCAGTCAGAATGTTCTGTCTGAAAGTATTTCTTTTTGTCTGAAGTATTTAGTTCTTTGAGATTTCCATTGCAATTTCTTTGTAAATACAGAACATTCTGTGTCATCACAATCTATTCTCTGCGCTTATTCACCCAGCGCAAGCAGTAACAATAAAAATGAATTGCGTAAGATCCCTATTCTTATTTAACCCTTCCTTGATTTTTCTTAGATTTAAGCCCCAGATAAAAATAATATGCTTTGGCAAAAGAAAATGTACTTCAATGATTAGGGAAAAACGATTAAATACATCATTGTGAGCGACTTGCTACCAGCAAAACAGGATTTGAGGTAATATCTGAGATCACAAAATGTTTACCCGCCCTGGGAAAAGCCATGTATATCGAACTAATTATCAAATATTTTGGACATTTACTGTTTCTTAATAATCTCTATTACACGGTAATTGAATAAGTATTGAAAGAAAGGGTCTCACAAAGAGAGGAGAGCATGGAGGCCTTTCATTTCATGACACATCAACCATCTGGAATGAACTGATTAAATCTCACCAAAAGATAATAATGTTATGTGTATGAAGTCCCATAATTGTACAGTTTGGCAACTTACTGGTGACTCTGTAATTGAGAGAAACGTAAAATGTGTTAAACCTCTGTTTAAAAAAATCTCAAATTAATTTCGTCTGATTCTGTTTGCCTTAAAGGAGGATTTGTCAGATTCATCAGACGGCGGATTTTGTTTTGCCCATTTGGGTACCATTACACGTGATCACTGTAAAACTCGTTAAAGATCACAAGAATCCGCAATTTAATGTCTAATTTCATTGGCTTTGAACTTCTGTATCACTATGGACATCACCTTGGGGCAGAAGGCAACATGCAGAGTCCGACCCCCGCCCCCCTGACAGTGACGTAGGTGTCATTCTCTCAATTCTGTCTTAATGTGTGCTCGTGTATTAATAAAGATCCCTATATTTGCGGTTTAGAAACAGTGTTTTGAGTGTATTGCTAAAATAGGGATGGTGTACAACTCTAGCTGAGAAGAGCCTTTAATAAAGATGACCTGGAGTTTATGGTTCACGCTGCCCGAGAAGGTCCGGCCTCCGAACACATCTTTCAAGGACCTGTGGAATCCGATCTCATTACAGCACATCCTCCCTGTTGCTGTAGCAACCCGGCCATAAACCCTGTCTGAGTCTGGAGCATTTGTAGAATTGGAGTGCAGTGCAATAAAATGTCTGAGACCAAGGTTATTAACTGTTACTAAGGAGTTAAAAACAAGGAATGGAACAGTAGAAACGCCATGCACTCGGCTCATTCGGCCTTCATTCGTGAATGCGCTTTCGGCGCCCTGCAGTGACAGGAATATTCAATGATTTTTACCTACGGACGTTTGGCCACACGGTGGCACCCTTTAGATCAATGTCACGGCCGTGGATTTGAAATGATGGCAGGATCCCCTACCCGTGTGCAAACTACCGGCGCCCGCATTGCTTTACGATTGTAACGAAAACTCACATTCAGGTAATATGTTTCGAAAATCTAAAAAAGATACCTTCATTATAGAATTTTAGAAAGATGCATCTTAATATTGGAGTAGTGCTATTTACTTAAGAGGCATGGCTTCGTGTTCGGACTTCATCTTTTTTGTTCACCTCGTCTCGTATTCTCACAAAATAATCTGTCTATCCATCTGTCATCCGGAAGTAAATTAGCCTACTAAGAGGATTTTTCCTTCTGATTTATAACTGTTTCATAATAGTTTTCATCCGTCCGCTTTAAGTACGTTTCAGCCGGTGAGGAGCTGAAGCTCGCTTCAAAATCTCTCTATTAAACTGAAGAAGTGTTCTGTTTAGGAATATATTTTATTAAAATTAACCGTAGATGGGAGAAAAGCATAATTATATACAGCAAATTGGGAAAGAGAAACATTGCAGAAAGAAGCATTCATTTTAAATAAAATGCTGAAAATAAATAAGTTGTTAAATATGACGGCTGAAGAGACTCAAGAATTCACTGCTTGAGTTGATCAATTTCCACCAAACACCCTTAGTGAAAATCAGATAGTGTTATATAATCCTTTATAATTCAGTAAAGGCAGTTTAAATGGGATTTTGTATTTTCTATATACCATCTTCAATTAATAAGTGAATCTTAGTTACTGCTAATTATATTCAGAAAAAAAACTTTCGTAACAAAGTAGAACATTATAATGCAAAATATAAATGCATAAATATAGTAAAGTTTCCTCAAAACTGTGCATAAATAACAAATGTCTTGATCAAAGAAATGTAGGATACTTCACTAATTTTCAGCCGTTTTACTTTTACAAAAATGCGCAGTGCACCAATCTCTTAACATTATTGTCAGACGGGAATTTGGTTTAAGTTTTATTGTTTGTAATCAAAAGAGGAAAAATACGTAAAACCATGTGTTATTTTACAGACTTGTTAGTGTCTATTTCAGTTATAAAACCCACCTGACTGAGTTTGAGCGCGTGGGATTTTTTCTCCATTGTCTCTTGTGCAAAATTAAAGCTTCCGCTCCGTGCAATAAAACGCTACATTATAATACATAACGATGCTTTTGCCCACGAAATGTGATACTCTTAGCAAAAGATGTCGATGTTTTAGCGAACCTATTAAAAAGAAATGGTTCATGTTATTAGTATTACATACCTGTATGTGTAATACTAATAAAAGTTATATAAAATGTGTGTGGCGCTTGTGATGTATTCGTATAAGACTCGTAAATACACTGTCGTTTACTTACATCTTCTTGACCAACATAAAACAATTATTTTTAATGCATACAGTTCTTTTTCGGGCATGCAAGTTTTTTTTTTTTTACAGAAAAAAGACGTTTCTTAAACGTTAGCTAATTCACATCCAACACACTTGAATTTGAATATTACTTTCCGTTATATATTTATATATGCGTGTTCGTATATTCGTTGAAGGCAATGACAGTCCGGATTGGGGAATTACTGGCGATGGTGTTTCCAAAAGCGGCCCAGGAGCGCGAGGAATGCAAGCCGTTGTTCAGGCTGGATGCATTAAGTTCACGATCTAGGCTAAAAACAACCGGGGAGAAGGCGCCCCGTTCCGAGCGCTTTGTTTACTCGCTCCATGTAAGGCAAAATACCACACAATAACAACAGGCGACCCAGCGGTACATTAACACGATTCCAGACGGGTCAACCGCCCAGAATCAAATCAATTCAAAAGCATTATATATTATATTATATTCGAGCCAGCAGTTCAATAATTGTCATGCGAGTTTTAATTTTGTTTTGATGACGGCGGAGCATCATCGAGCACGAAATTCAGTCTGCATTTTGCCATAGATGAAGTTTTTTTTAAAAAAAAATCTTATTTTTTACGCGGTAAAAAAAATCTAATTTGAGTCCACAGATCAATACATTGGCAAAACTAGCCCCTTTCATAATCTTTAAGTTCGACCCTGTTGCAATTATCCCCCACATGGCATGAATTCCGCCGGCAATGACAGCAGTCTGACAGAGGTTCTGGCGAAGGTTTGTTCATAAACACATAAACACTCCGGGCCGTAATCCGCCGGGTGACACGCGCCTCCTTCTAAATCAGATCAGGAAAGCGCGGAGGCTTGTGAATTATTCTGACCAGTACCAAGAGACAGAAACATGTCGTATTAACACACATAAGTAAATTCCTTGGTAAAACACACTTCATTTATTTTTGGCATTGTTTACTGGGCTGCAAAGATTACAGATGGATAATCGCAAAGATAACTTCTGAAGTCTCCAAAACGGAACATACTTTAAAGGCAGGTAAAACACACGAATACATAAAATACAATTCCGTTCTATATGCACATGGTGATACAATCTTTTGATAATTGTTTTATCATAATAATACAAACATACACCTTTGCTTACTAATTTTTTTCGGCTTTCATCACGGAGCGCTAGGTTTTTTATTTTTATTGCGTTTCAGTTGATTTTCGTGTCTGTCAATCACATTGCATGTGAAATGGTATTTTAGTAATAATATAATAAATACAATTATGGCGACAATGTGGTGATCAGTTATATTGAGTGCCTTATTTTTGCGTAGGCCCCTGTGAAACTTTTTGCAAGAGATTTATACCACACATAGAATAAATAAATGAGCAATACCATCTCCACTAACCTGTATGTCCCGTTTTTTTAAATTGATTACGAATACGTCTGTATTTTTTGTATAGCCTGTAAACGTGTGTTTTAAAATGTTCTGTTTTTGCGGTTCACTTTAGTGCATTAGGAAAAGACATTCACAAACGTGCGCACGCGTCTCCAAGGTCTTGAATCCGCGTAGGTTTTCATTCATTTTAGTCCATGAAAGTTTACGCACGTGTGTAACCCTGTATGTCTTTAAAAGGAAACAACTCTTCCGTGTCTTATAAAGCTCGATATTTCGCGTGCAGTTTTGTGATTTCAAATCAGGCTGATGGGATATTAACTTTCTGAATTTTCTATTCTTACTGAAGGCATAGATACATATGACCTCTTGCCACAGCGGAGCTCCTAATGGGAGGAGTCGCCAGTGAATCCTAGCTTCTATTGGTCGTCTGCTTGTACCGTGCAGTGGGGGTATCTGTAATCATATTCAGCATGTTTTGCACAAGAAATGTCAGCCAGAAAGGGCTATCTTCTCCCTTCGCCAAATTATACCACAACAATGTCATGCTCAGACAGCCCGGCTGGAAACTCGTTTTTAGTAGATTCCTTGATTAGTGCCAGCCGAGCCGAAGGCGGAGGAGCCTACTATCAGGGTAGTGGCGTGTACTTGCCACCGGCGTCCGAGTTGCCTTACGGACTACCGAACTGTGGGTTTTTTCCAGGACTGAGCAAGCGGAACGAGGGGAATTCTCCGAATATGGTCCCCACGTCCAGCCCGTACATGCCGGCGATGGAGCTGTGGATGGATCCTCCGCGGTCGTGCCGTTTGGATCCGCCCGCGAGTCAGCAGGTAGCGCCTTGCTCCTTCTCCCCGAACATTAAAGAGGAGAGCGCGTATTGCCTTTACGAGTCAGAGAAGTGTCCAAAAGGATCAGCTGCAGAAGACCTCTCCTATTCGAGGTTGACACCTGGCTCCTGCGCTGTCAGTGACAGCGGCACCGTTCCTGTACCTGGTTACTTCCGCCTGTCTCAGACTTATACAACTTCCAAGGTCTATCAGGGTGTCCAGCCCAGCTCCGCTCAGTTTGTTGTGCAGCCGCCGGTGCGCTTCGACACGCCGCCGTCTTCTTCCGCCTCGGTGGAACCGGCTCGGAGAGGCGTTGGCGAAGCTTCCTCCGGTCCCCAAAGGCAAGAGGACACCCGAGTCTGCTCGTCGGCGGAAGAATCGTCCCCAGACCCCACAGAAAATGGCCAAACAAGCCCTGGCAAAGCCGCAAAAGGTAGGTGACCCGCCAACCCAGCAGCGCGTTCAGCGACAGGTATGGGGAAAAGCGAGACTGAAGTGACCTTGTGAACTTTTTTATATTTGGGCGTGAACACCCTGTAAAAATGACCGTCGTCTTCAAAGTCTAGAGCTGGATTCCATCGTTCTTAGTAAATGTAAATCAATTCAGTAAATATGTAGCTGGAATTGTTGACAATAATTCTAGTAAACCGCAAAACTGAAATGTGTTTTTATTGTTTTAATGCCCAAAGAACACGAAAGACGTTCAATAAATAAGTCTATAAAAGGTATGAAATCTTTTTATAATTCCGAACAATTTTGAACAGCGCAATCAATCCCTTTTTGCTTTAAACCATTTGCACAAATCAATCATTTTTTTCATTTCACAAAGCCCTCGTTTTCAATTTACAGCAAGAAACAAAGCAGACCGTTCAGAGCGACACGTTTACATTGACGTCTGTATGAAACGCAAAGATCGATTTATATAAATGGAGGGTTATACAGCATATGATGACATAATGCGCAGGGCAAAAGAGAGTATTTAAAAATGTCGGACTTCATTAGTCAGACAGACGTGTTGTTCCCTCTTATTTGGTCGAACGCATAACGTCTTATTTTTCAGGATAATTATTAATTTTGCTCAAAAAACACGTCACACTTGGACCTGGAAACTGGAACGATTTTATTCATATGCCTACATAAATATATGTAATAAATACGTATGCATTTACATTATAAAGCCGTAGTCAAGGCGGTTGTTATTATTATTATTATTATGTCAATAATAATACTGTTTTTGTTATATAACAAAAGATTGAATGTAAATTGACTGTTAATAGATGGAACAAATTTAACAAAATTGGCAGGCCTACACGTACTAATATTCCTCTTCTTTTTTCATAAGGAGACTCGAAAAACGAAAACACGGCGAACTGGCTGACAGCGAAGAGCGGAAGGAAGAAGCGCTGCCCCTACACCAAGCACCAGACCCTGGAGCTGGAGAAGGAGTTCCTCTTCAACATGTACCTGACTCGAGAGCGGCGCCTAGAGATCAGCCGCAGTGTCCACCTGACGGACAGACAAGTCAAAATCTGGTTTCAAAACCGTCGAATGAAACTGAAGAAAATGAGCAGAGAAAACAGAATTCGCGAGCTCACAGCGAATTTTAGCTTTTCGTGATACACGTGTCCATCTGATCTTCGGCTCCTCGCATCTTCGCTTCGATGAGGGGTCCATCCGGTTTCCATCTGCGTATTGGACCGCACGCTCTTTCGGTACATCTCGAGAAAAGACCTAAATAGACAACACCAGTTTTTGTAGTTCGTTTACGTGTTTGCTTTATTTCAACGATCTTGGTGAAGAAAATAATATATAATAGAGGAAAGGAAGACAACGCGCTCACGAGTCAACGTGTGGATGTGAACTGAAACTTTTACGCATAAAACTTTAAAATAATTAATTGGATTGACATCCTATCGCTGTGTACTGTATTGGTAGACTGAACTATGAGCTCCACTGAAGTAAAATGTGGCGCATGGACAGAATGCAATATACAAGTAAGCTATACGTTTGCCTGCACAAGAGCTGAGGGAGCACATACCATACTGATGGACTCGGTGGACTATTTACCTCTCTTTCAAGCGAAAATCTCGCTGTAGAAATGTATGTACATTTTGTTTTTGTGAGTGCTAGGTGGTTCGTACGGCCTCTAACCGTGTTCAAGCACTGCGCCGCGAGAAGGAAGCAGAAGGGAGATTCCTGGCAGGACTTTGCCAGACCTTTTCCAGCATTACTTTTCCTGGAGCGGGCGGGTGGGGGTGAAGTAATTATTATATTCGGTCTAAACTGTGAAAAAATAAAGTTTATTGTTGGTGTGGTGTAAATAAAGAAAACGATGGTGTTCTATTGAAAGCGTAAGTGTTCTGCTGGCGATATTAATAAATTATCGGCGCCTAGTACTGTTTCAAGTGTAAATATAATATATAATATATATACACAGTGTATACGTCCCTATTGCTCCTGCCATGCGGTTTTCTTCTTTTTGAATTTATTTGTTGAATGCTTCAGTTTTTCGGAGTTTGTTGCGTTACCTGCTTTGTAAGGTTAATTGTGAGGTTCAGCACAAGCAGCTTTGGCGTTTCGCCTCGCAATTAGTGTTGGGATCTATTTAAATATTACCTAGACGGTCGTAATTTGTCTGGGCCATAGAGCGGTAGTGCTGTAAGGTTTGTCGGCTTTGTTGAGTTTTATGACTTGCTAGTATATCTGGATTGTTGCTGTCTTGGACGAGTGGTTTCAGTTGAGCGAAAGCTGCGTAGACAGAGAGGAAGCAAATTTCCTTGCTTGAGTGTAGAAAACTGGCTTTCTTTTAAGCCACATGTTGCCGTAGCTTTTCCGAGAGCTGGAAGGGGAGCCGGTGATATCAGAGGCTGGGGCAGTTCAAGGTGAGCGCGGAGACCTCTTACTTTCTCCTTCTTTACCGAAACCGTTCCGAGTTTCCCGTCGGGCTCGCCACTGCCATGGCCGTGGATGGCAATGAGACGAGATACAGATGTCTGCAGTTTTTGCTTATTAATTCACCTCTTATGTTTGAAAGGCAGTGAGAGGAAGGATTGCTCCTGGTCTAAGCTCATTTCATCTTTATCTGAGGCCCTAATTTGTTTTTATGTCAGGACAGAAATGCCTCTGTGTTTTGACATGTGTTCCTTCCTTTGCTGTGGACATACTACGGACTACAAATAACAGAAATTTATTTAAAAGAGATTTGTATATCTGTGAAGCTCAAGTGGAATATTAATATACTGTTTTCGCTAACCCAATGGAAGGCAAGCGCCCCGCGATGTTTCTGTATTAACGGCGCTAAGTGGACTGTCGAGTGGTTTAGGTAGTTTCATGTTGTTGGGCTCCAATTCGTGTTCCTGCAACACGAAGCTGCCTTAATCGCCCCAGTTAAAGTCGTCGCAGATCCGAGGGGAAAATGGGACTGCGGTAAAAATCCTAGATGTAATTTTAATTCCAAGAAGAGTGGCTGTTTTGTTTGTAATTCCGTGTGTTCGTTTGGAAACGATCAAGGTCACGTGTAATCTAAATTCATTACTCCTGAATTTGCTTAGGCTGTATTTTCCTTCTCACCCTGGTTTCTTCCTTTTCGTTTCATTTTTAGTATTATTGCTGTTTTCTGGGAAGCTGGCTCTATTTCTTTATGCATTTTTAAATCTAATTCATACTGAAAGCCATTTTTCTTCAGTTTTAAAGACCGAAGGTGCGACGTGCCTGTGAATCACAAAGTATATCACTTTTTTCGGGGGCTAAAGTGATCTTCAAGGCATGTTCAACAAGAGACAAAAAAAGAAGCGTGCACTTCTTGGAAACGGGGCTACTTTTTAAACCCGCTGTAATCGATGCAGACTCACAAGGCCTCGGTTACGATCACAGGGACGGAGTCAGACTCCGAGCTGCCTCAGACACCAGAATGTACAACAGCGACCTCGCTGGACCGCCTGCAAAGCGCCGTGGGGTCTGGCTCTGCAGTCCAAGCCTACAGCTAACAGGCCCTCTGTTGCCGACGTTCAGATCAAGAGAGCTTCTTATCTTCGGGAAAATCACTAAAAAGTATTTAGCTGACGTTCAATGTAACTTGTCGACCACATTAAAAACGACATCTCCCTTTTGTGCCGAAATCACAGTTTTGTATTTTCTTCCATCTGTGTTATGTTGAGGCTGCACGGATCCGCACTGCTCCTGTGTTCGTCGCTTTTCTTCTAATGTGTTGCTTTGGCAGTTTCGTGTGTGACATTGGGTTGCCTTGATCTTCCTTCAGATTGTAGATACTGCAGAAACACAGAGAATGAAGAAACTCGCAGCAGAAGAAACTAGTCTGACTGGCTATTTCCCGCCCCGCTTTAATTAAATGGCACCTCACGGATACTATTAATGTTTTATTAATATATTTACATGATCGTGTTTTTACGAAACTTTAATATTATATGATCTCCATATCGCGTGCGTTGCTCTGCTTATTTTGGGTTATTTTTCCTTTGGCTTTATGATACGGCCATAAACAGAGCAGTAAAGTGTGCACTGCTGAGCAGCGTGTTCTTGCTGCTGGTAGGACAGACAAAGGGAACGATTCCTTCTGATTCCGTTTCTCTTCGGACCCACTTTCATTTTCGTTGCCTTCCTAGACTTTATTTTGTCTGTACAGTTGTGATCTGCTGTGGTTTCTTATTGTAATTTTATTATTCCTTTTGTGGGTTTGAACGGCAAATTGGGCAGTTATGTCGCATTGTATTTTAACTTCCCGGTTACATATATTGTGTTTTTCTTTACCTGAAATATTTACCCTAGGTGGTTAATGTAATATTAATTCAAACTCTCAAACGTCCACGGCTACTGTGAATATTACTGATCAACAGGAACGTCTGAACGTACCCTGTAAATATTCATTTTGGCCAATGAAAAGAAATGCAGCCTTCCTCTTTTGTTTTTTCATTTTAATTGGAAGTAATTACATAGTCTAGTGTCAAAACATAGAGCAGGAAACGGGGATTATACGCGAAATACGTCCCCTTATTTGTCGATTGCAGTCAGCAGGCAATGTCCCTTGCTAAACACTAAACACGCGTACAGCTATTATTATTATTATTAATATACATGTAAAATGCTAGATTATTTTTATATAGTCTGAATAAAACATGCCATGTTTCTGCTTCATGGATGTTTTTTTTTTATATTTTCATAGTAGTACACATATGAAAAATATTGTTTCAGTAACCAGGAATTGGAATATTGAATAATATTTCGATTTAAGTAGGTTTTCCTTCTGTTCTTCCCGTGCACATTGTGTATTTTCCTTTTAAACACGCCAGACCAGATTAGTCAGAGGGGCCGAATGACCTTTTTGCAATCGTTTGCAATTTTCTTTTATTGGAGAGTTGGTAGCTCTGCTCAGGCTGAAAACATACTTTGAAAAAACTTGAGCTCTTTTCCTTTTGTGAGTTTCGAGATTTTAGTTAATTAGTTCGCGTCAGGACAACAGAGTGAACAGCCGGCGAATTTATGCGGGACTCTGCTGTGCAGCTTTTCAAACCGATGTTTTCAATTTTATTAAAATAATGGGATATCAAAAAGGTGACTTCCTTAGCTGATAATTCCGCACTTAAAGGACAAGACGACCCATTCGACTCGTTCACCGCAGCCTCAGCATTCATTCTCGAATGCAAACGGGCTTGATTTCAGCAGACTCAGAACATGACGAACTGTAAAACTACTGTTAATAACTTAAAAGGTGGCTCGTACTAAGATTGAACAGCAATGAGAAGAAATAATAATGCGACTGAGATCTAAGGATTTCAAATATGTTGTGCTTTATTAGAACATTTTATTTCGTATTTACTTCTTCATTTCTATTACATGCTGGGCTGGTGTACCTTATAATGTAACTCTTCCAAAAGCAAATCGGCGGACTGTAAGTATAACCGATATTTGTTCGATACTGAGTGACCGACACGATAAAAAACTAAAAAGATTAAAATGTTTAAAAACAAACCTTATATTCTCACACATCCTTGTTTTCCTGACATGAAATATACGTGAACTCCTTTCTATGTCCACACGAGTATATCTGCGAGCATAGACGCATATGCGCACATTTAATTATGTTTATAATTCAGTACTGGTAAGGTCAAGACTGAGGCAGCCTCATCTGAAGTCAGGCCTTGGAACACTACATCGGTTTATGAAAGTACCTCTTATAGCTTAAATTTTAAAACAGTCATTTCAATTAAATGTTCTCATACGGACAGATGTCATTACTGTTTCCATATCACCTAAGCATGTAAAATGAAACGTTTAAACCAAAAATGTGTTATTTCTGCGGGTGAAGCACTTCCGACTTACTTGAACTCAAGGGTCCAGATGTGAGCCTGACTTTTAGCTGGGCTCCGTTGTTCAGCAGTTACATTTTCGCGTAGAAAAATACACACGGAGAAGGGATTTAAATGCAGCTATGAAAAAAAATGTTTTTAACGGCGACACGCTTTCAGCAGTAGTTTGTGTGGTATGGTATCATTCATTCTACAATTTAATGTGAAGGTTAACGATTATAAGTTATGCAGCAAAAAAGAAAAATCCTATGATGGATTGATTAATGTTGACATGAAATAGTCCCTTACAAGCCCCTCTGCAAATCAGAGATTTTAATTTCTTTTGGCTAAGATTAGAATCAACTTTACTGTGTATATCAAATAATATCCCATTGCATAAAAACATATGGCTTTCTATAAAAAATTATGACTGGAAAACAGTGACCCTTTAACAGGCAGCGGACTGATTTATTCTTTATTGTTCTGCCGTACAGTCACGTGGGCTTGCTGCCCAATGGAATGGCAGGAATCGTTCAACTTATTAGCTGACTGTAGTTCTTTGTGAGGCCAAGTTGCTACTTCAATTCTACAGTTTCTTATATTGTGAAGATATAACAGTCTATGTGTATGTGTGAGTGGGTGTGTAGGGTTGGATGCGTGTGTGTTTATTGCAATGTCGGCTTCAGGGACACTTAGTAATTATTATGTGGACTCTCTCATTTTTCACGAGAGTGAGGATCTTTTCCAGCCCAGGCACCCCTCTGGTTCAGGGGTGCAGCCAGCGAGGCAGCCGGCTTTGAGTGAGCACAGCGACCTAGCCCCGTGCAATTTCCAGCCGAAGCCCTCTGTGTTCGGCGCATCCTGGAGCCCCGTTCATGCTCAGCAGCCAAGCAACTTGCCCTCCGTTTACCACCCGTATGTGCATCACCAAGGTCCGCCGGGGGAGTCCGATGGAGGCTACCTGCGGTCTTGGCTGTTGGAGCCCCTGTCTGGATCTCTGCCTTTTCCCGGATTACCGTCAAACAGGCAGTACGGGATCAAACACGAGCCGCTGAGCCGGAGAGGTGACTGCACAGCGTATGATAATCACGCTGCGGTCCTGTCCGAGTTCTCAAGCGGGTCTCCTCCTGCGGAGAAAGAGGAACATCCCACCGAAACGGCCTTTTCTGACACCAACGGCGAGGGCGCGTCGGCCGAGGAGAAAGCTGCAGCTGATACAAGTGAGTGCTGTCTGTTTGAATACATATATGCCACGGTGAAGGCAGAACAACACGAGTTCTCCCGAGGTATGAAGGGTTTATTTGCATGGAACCGCAGGGGTATGTGGATGGGCACATTTGAATCAATAATAGACAAATAATCTGTCTAGCATTATGTCATATTTGAATAAATGTAAAACTAACGGTAGATACAGTATAATATCACCCCACTTGTTCTAGATTAATGAACGTGGTGTTTTATTTATTTGTAGAGTTGACCATAAACTCTGGTAAACCTTAAACTGACCATTTTTTTCCCCGTTTGCTTCTTTTACGTCGTAGGGTTCAATTAAATTAATAAATAGTTAATTGATTTGACGATTTGTTCAATAGCTAATCTAGGAAGAAAAACTGCCCTTTGCCAACTTTTTTTTTGGGGGGGGGCGGAGAGGGGTGTGTGTAGTGGGCAATGACCTATGAATGGAGACAGAGAGACATTGAAAGACTAGACAATATATTTCATGTGATAGTGGACTCGGTTTGATTAATCAATTTAATTAGTGACCACCTGCGTATATTATCTGTTTTGTTTTACATTTCTAACCTTCTTTTTTCAGATAATCCCGCATCAAACTGGCTACATGCAAGGTCGACAAGAAAAAAGCGCTGCCCGTACACTAAGCACCAGACATTAGAGCTGGAGAAGGAGTTTCTCTTTAACATGTACCTCACCAGAGACCGCAGATACGAAGTGGCAAGACTCCTGAACCTAACTGAAAGACAAGTAAAGATCTGGTTTCAAAACAGGAGAATGAAGATGAAGAAAATCAATAAAGAACGACCCAAAGACGATTGATATTAAAGAACGCTGCAAAAAGAGTATATCATTAAAACATTTTGCTGTTTTTATTTTAAAGATGCATGCCCCAAATCATGCATCTTTTATTATTATTATCTCGATATACTCTTTTTTTATATTGAACTACCTTGCGCTGCACAGTTCCGCGGTTTGTACTCTTACTAAATTATTTTCTGTGCTGCAGACACGTTTGCTGCCATACTTGAAATCGTGACTTCTGTGTTGTAAGTGTTTGTAACTGGAAATTGTCGTTTTTGCTGTTTTGATGATAGATTCTCGATTTATCTCAGGTTGCAAATCGGAGCGTCGTTTAAGCTGTTGTTATTTTGAATATTAGAACTCATAGATGTACGTTAGCGAACAAAACACCAGTAGAGTTGTTATAATTAGTGAAATGTTAATAATGTTTTAGTTTTTTTATTGGGCGCATGTGTTTAAGTGGACTCTAATTCAAAATATATTTAATTACATTAAAAATAGTGATATGCTCTGTGTCAAAATACAAAAGAGAATGTCGTAGATATTATATAACAATATGAAATGTTTTTACTACCTATATGTCACGAAACTACCTATATTCGTGAAAAATAGTCTTCAAGATTTAACTTAATGTTATCGCATAGCGCTTTAAAAGATTTAACAAGTATTAGAATAAAAACTGGAATATACACAATTAAGGGGCAGTTATTTGTAAGAAATCACTGTACAGGCAACATTGTGGAATTATTACCTCATGACCCGATGACCAAACGTCTCTGTTTTCAAATGTAGTTCGTATTTTAATAATAAAAATGCATCTCAAAATGCTTTCGCGTATGTGCAAGTCTCATTTCTTAATTCGGGTATCTCTGCTGTGCATTTTCAACACACAGTTTTGAAGCAATTGCTTTCTTTCCCACTTTTAATTTGACAATAAAAACTGGAGGAAATATTTTCAAAACTATAAATATGTTTTAACTGGCAATCCGACTTTCTTACTGGCTGTTCGAATTTTTGTTCAATAGTTTTATAACTACAAGATGCAAATACAAACACTTCATTCGTAATTATTCTTATTACTTTATTACACCAAAGATGGTCCGTGAGGCCAGTGGCGTTTAACCGCTTCAAGCGCATATCACAAATATTGCCAATTTAAACAGATTTCTTGTGGTACAATAGAAGGAATGTTTGGAATAGAACATATTCAGTAAAATTGGTAGTTATCTGTTCGTAATTTTTGTAATGTGTTCCAACAGTGCCAGATATGCATTCTGGGTTTTATCTTTTGAAGTCTCTCTTATGCGTGTGAAACGGCTGTGTGCAGTAAAGGCCAGTGATCACTTCGATAAGGATCGCGGCTCTTAGAAGACGGGCTGAATGAGTCTTGGTGCTGCAATCCACACAAACAGGCCAGGGCGGCTGACCGCGAGCCCTGGGAGAGGGTATTGTTAGCTACACACGGCAATAAAAGAAAATGACCGTTGTTACCGGTTATGGGGTGTAAAACGCCTCAACGCTGAAGGACACAGAACACAGTATGTTGAAAAGTCTTCCAAAAAATTTGTAAAACAATGTGGATATCATGTTAAGATAAAAGTTGTTGGGTTTTTTTTTTTTGTGTGTTGCATTTTTGTTTCGTAGTGAAGCGCCGAGGCCCCATTACCCCGGCCTCGCAGTATTTTTTTAAGATGTTGTGACGCCCTCTGTTGCAGATGGAGCAGACATCAAAGGCTCGTACCGAGACTTGCGCAATAAAACCAAGGGTCTGGTATACTGTCTGGAATTTGACTTTTAATTAGTTTACAACTGTCCAGCTACAATTAGCCTGTTTCCAGAATAGACCATCCATTTGTTGTTTTCTACAGGTCTGCACAAAAGGCTGGCGGAAATAACTTTCTTTATTGATCTCTTTTCGACTGGGCCCCAGAGATACTTCGCAGTCTTTGTTATATCTGTACCTAGAAAAAGCGCACATTTTGCACGTTTATTCATTGTGACATTTCCTCCTTTCCGCAAACATTAATCCAGCCTCGTGATCATTTACTTTCTAAACAATTATCAATTAAACAAGTCATGAAAATACTCTTCACTACCACCAATTTTACACGGTTTCTTATACTCAATGTTAACATTTTAACGACAGTGAAATATTGGTTAGTATTTCATATATTTACATATGAATCCCTATTATTGAACAATTCGGAAAAGGGATCTGATATGAACTGTTTGTAAAACCTGTAAAATATGCGCTGGTAATCTCTTGCTATTACGACAAAAGAACGGTAGATGGCAGTATCAGTCCATCAAACTACTGCTAGGCCCTACCACAAAAACAGATTCAGCTTTGAAATTGGCAGCAGAAGCTAATACTGAAATAACCTCCCGCTACGCTTTCGGGAGAAATTTTACTTAAACTGATAGAAAATTCTCTGAATAAACATTGAAGGGCATTGTCAGACGATTACACGTATTTTTCATTTTACATTTATTTTTTTGGGGACATTACAGACGTGCAAGAATGCCTTCAATTAATCCTATTTTATCTTTATTTCTGTCTTCAATTGGTGAAACATAATGTCATGTAACCATATTAGTCACAAATTAATTTTAATACTTAATCTATATATTAATTGAATTCTTGTTTGGTAAAGGGATACTACATATTCGTGACTTGTAAGCTCCTATCCTTTTTGTTAAAACAGAGAATGGATTAGTAGTTTTCACTTCTGCATTGTTTGTTCCAAAGCCCATAAAAAAAGATGTAAGAAGCCGCTGACTTCTTATTTAATCTACAATAATTGATCAATCGACAATAATCAATTTCAGACTCAAATATTGTTATATAATGTTTGTAGTATTAAAGGAAACAGCGAAAGCTGCAGAAGTGCACGCGGGTAATTCACACAGACTGAAGTATGGTCAAGGCCGATTACAATAAAACACCCTTCGTCTGATATTTTGCAGAGACAGAAATTGTGTTACAAAACAAAAAAACGTTGAGATCCTTTCAGATGTTTTGAGAATAAAATAATTCTTTTGAACAACTTCGTAAATGAAAACGAGGGAATTTTAAATATCCGATTAATTAAGTAACGAGAAGGTACTGAGACGTGTAAATTAGAAGTAATTTTGTCATTTGAATAATTTTGTAAATGCTGTTCTTAGATTGAAATAATTTAAGGTAGTGCTCACGTCCTAAACTCATCCCGTATCTGTAATGAAATGGGAATATTACACAAAACTGCACTCAGATTCAGTACAAACACACGAAGAGAGCGTATACACTCACAGCAAACACAGCAAAACGTTGATTTAAATTATTCTTTTCAGATCAATACACAAAAACTCATAAAGAACACTCTCGGTTGTGAGAACAGAGCTGCGCTGATATTTGTGCTGTGTCTTGGAAGAGGTAAATGCCACACAAATGGAATCACATTAATGCAAAACAACCTGGGCTGTCATCGATTTGATTTTACAGTAAATTCGGATGTATATTTTAACGCAAAGGTTTACAACATTAGTTCACTTCAGACTGAGTTTCTTTTTTTTTCAATAAACAAAAACAAAATGTTATTACTGGTATTGTTTTGGCATAAAACAAAACAGCTGTGATCTGTGAATGGGTGAGGAGCATTACATTATTATAATTATTATGAAGAGCGGTCGATTATCGATCGATCTTTAGTTGATTAAATGGAAATATATATTAAATATAATTTAAACATTGACTATAGGATATCTACCAATTCAGAAATGTCCATCGCACTTTTCCCTTACATATTAAAGGAAACAAACGGTGAATTAAATGCATCGCCCTGCAGTCTCGAAGCGGTTGAACGCGTACTACAGAAAGGGACTCCTGAATCTGAATAAATGAATGAATGAGATAACAAGGTTTGTTGTTCATAAGTATCGTGTTGACGGCGAATAAGAGAAAGCATTTGTGAGCAACAGATGAGGCATTCTTTAGAAGTACGTCTTTGTCTGGGTTCACCACAGGAATGTATTTGGTGTCACTGGTGTTTATGGTGCGCCATATAGTTGGTGGGGAGCAGGCTTGGACTCCATACTCGAGCGAGCCCAGACCGCTGGACAAGCTTCAGGCGCTGAATGGATGAGTCTGTCCTGGAATTGACGCTGGTCCTGGAATTTGAAGGCTGGTGGAAGAATAAACGAATTCTCGCCTTGGTAGAGTACCAATCATGAAAACAAAGGTAAGTTTTTTTTTTAAAGGAATTATATATCTTCCTGGTTTCTAATCATTTTAAATTTACATTAAACATATTAATATATATTTGAAAACGTTAGTTAAAACCAAATATTCCCAATACGCACCCATTATATTTCGTGCTGCAGCACGTTACGTTTCTGCAATATGGTAGAGGTTTTACCGGAGAAGAGACGAAACCCGATGACAGAGCAGGCCATCTTAAAATTCAAAATGCAGAAAACACAACCCCGTAACAATGCTCTCACAGCAGTTTGTGGAAATCATAAAAGCGACGTGCGATACTGTGCATTGACTTTTAAGATGGAAGATTTCCTGAAACTGCGTAAAAGGATCGCATGAAGTAATCCGGAATCTCGAGGCCGTCCTGAGTTATCGGTCTCCCCTCCCGTTCAGGAGCGCAGCGCAATGCTGTTCTGACAAAGGCGCACGACTGCCGGAGAAACTTCACCACGAAGAGTGGAATAACTATACAAACATTGAACACCTTACGTCATTCTAATGCAGCCCACCTAAAATATTTTGAAATGGCAGATGGCATAGGAATGACTTATTTTCATATTTGTTAGACATGTTTTGCGTGATTAAATGTAATTTACCTTTGGCCTGTTTTACCTTTCCAGATTTCAGCTATATGCTCTGTAAATAGGTAGCCCCAAAGAGTAAGGCTAAATTATCGAAGGATTAATGGCACACGTTCAATTTAACATAATTTATTATTTTTAATCTTTTTTTTTTTGCTGTTGTCCACCCAAATGTTCAAATAGTCAGTTTCTGCGGTGTCTTTCGCTCTAGATTCAGCAGCCATTGGCTGCTCCGGTCACAAGGGTGGGTCACGTGAATAAACTCGCTCGGATCCGAGGAAGATGGGGTTTGGTGTAAATCTGGGGTGTAATGCTGTCATTTATCACGCTACCTCGTAAAAACGACACTGAAGCGTCTTGGCCAACAAATCACCGTCCAAAATTATGAGTTCTTCCTATTATGTGAATAGTATTTTCAGCAAATATGCGGCGGGGACTTCCCTTTTTCAAAATGTTGACCAATCTTCCTGCTCTTTCGCACCCAGCGTTCAGAGATCTGCATATGGACCGGGAACATCAGCTTTCTCCTCGGCTTTGCCCGGGCTCTACACGGTGAATAATGCCATGTACCAGAACCCGTCCGTACTCACCTCCGGGTATAACCTAGGCTCGGAAGGTTACAACCTGCATTGCAACTCATTTGATCAGAGTCTGCCCGTCCTCTGCAATGACCTGGCCAAAGGCGGCAGTGATAAGACGGGTCCAGCTGACCTCAGCTCGCACTCTGAGAGCAGTTTCCGGATGTACCCCTGGATGAGAACTTCAGGTAGGGCTAAAGTGAAGCGGAAACCCCCGAGTGCAACTGTAAAAGAGCGTTTACAGTCGCTGTCAGAGAAGGCTTTATGGTTTTAATTACTGACGGCTTGCCTCTGCCCGGAGAGCCCGTGGCATTGTATGTAAATGAGAAATCATAAAACTTTTATTACGCAAGTAATGAGTTCCGACCTCGTTAATCCGTTTCACTTCCGTTCCTGTAAAGCTCTGTCTAAAGGTAAATGTCTTGTTTTGCCTTTTCGTATAATTTTCAGTAGTTTGCAGTTGTTTATTCTCCCCGATTTTGGAGAAAAGAGAAAATGAAAAGGTTTATTATTATTATTAACCCAGTATAAGGCCATCACGTCCACGGATCCCACTGTAAGGAAATTGCAGGGCATCTTGCCTGCATATAAGGGCTAAAATCCCTTCGACAGAAGAACTAGTCAGGAGAGCGCAAAGCACCTTGTAGCCTGTTTGATGTTTGAAACGCAGGTTGGCTACACATTTTCTTGAGTCTTATTTTCTTGGTCTCTTTTTATTTTAATTAGTTCTTCTTCTTCGTTTTATAATATATTTTATTTATTTTTTATTTTATGCTGTGTTTGTTGCTGGATATATTACGTCTGTGATTATTCTGTAACCTCCGTTCCTCTCTTTCTGCCTTTCTGATTCTGAAATATATATTGCAGATATATTATTAATCTTTTTAGAGTCCGTATAAATGCTTTTATGCATCTAGGCATTTATTTATATGTATAGATACATGTATAGGGTTGCCTTTGGGGGGCCTTGTACTACTGTCAATATCAGTGGTAAAATGTCAACACATTAAAAATCTTTGAGTGTCAAAGGTTTCAGGTAAAGATTCTGTCCGTGTAATGTGTCTTTTGCGTGGATTTTGGAATGCGATATAAAAACACATAATACGTTAGTGCGATAGCTCTACAAATACAGGAATACGTGCATCTCCACTTCTTCAGATTTCCGAATTGTTTCCTGTAGATATTGAATTTTAGATTAACATTACATAATAGCTTGTGAGGTTTTACGCGTTTTTGTCTGCGATAGAAATACATATAAAGAAATTGAGCGTTGTGTTTGTGTTGCAGGTGCGGACAGAAAGCGAGGAAGACAAACATATACCCGGTACCAGACTCTGGAGCTGGAGAAAGAGTTTCACTTTAACCGCTATCTGACGCGCAGGCGGCGCATAGAGATCGCTCACACCCTGTGTCTCACCGAGAGGCAGATCAAGATCTGGTTCCAGAATCGGCGAATGAAGTGGAAGAAAGAGCACAAGGAGGACACCTCGATTTCCACCGCCGCCACCGAAACCACAGCTGAGGAAAAGGAAGACGACGACGACGAGGAAGAGAAAAGCCCATAGGAAAGGAAAGACATCCGTGGAAAATAAGACTGGCTTATTGAACTGATATTTAGCAAAACATTAAAAAAATCTATTGCGTTGTATTGTGACATTAATAACAAGAGAGATATTTAAAAATACAGCACAACAACATTTTGTGCTTAAGTGATTTACATCAAACATCAATGCGTTCCACGGGGGAACTGCGGAATAGTGGACTTTTAATTAAATGAATCCAATTTAAAAGCTTCATTCTCTGTGATTGTTTTAGTAATAACAGAGAAAGGGAGATTAATGAAACATTAAAGTAGGTCTAACCTTTATAAGCACTAACTAAACTACCTATTACACTTTCAGGTTATAGTTTACGGGCACGTGCATTAAAATCAAAACCTACCTATTGATGAAGTTTGTCAATGTGTTTAGAAATATAAACTTATCTGAGCTTCTGTATTATAGTATTCGATCAACATTCCGGAACTACCTTAGCAAAAACAGTAGCTACTTTTTTTTAATTGTGTAATACGGTATGCATGTGAAATGTCTATTGTAAATAAAAGCTTTTAAACTACACGGCAGCGCTACAATGCACAGGCAACTGTTGTAACCTTACTTCTTCACGCTAAACGTAATAATATGTAATAATAGTGTTTCTGATGAAGTGTGTACAATCTGAATAAATTACTTGTAACTCCACGTTTTGTTTTCTGAGTAGGCCTATATGTATAACCACTTTTCTCAATAATAATAATAGTATTGTTTAAGGAAACGCACAGGATTATAACTTTATTTATCGTTGTAGAAAGGAAAGTTTCGTGTTATTCGGCTCTGGGTGATGTTGTGAAATGTATTGTATGTAGCATGTGTATTGCAGATATAGTAGATACATTGTATTTAGGAATCTGTTCTGGGACGCTTATGCCTGTTTTTATCAATATTTGGTTGACGGGGGGAACACAGCACGTGAGTGTTTGTAGGCATTGAAATTTTGATAAATAAAACATGAATTCACATGAATGCTAAACCGTTGTCAAATTAATGCATAAAGTTATGAAGACATGCGATCACGGCTGTTTTAACTCGGGCAACTGAGTATTGTACAGCGACTATACATACACACGTTCCCTCGCTAACAACCTTGTTTTTAACTGAATCCCATCATTAGTTGCACTATAAAGAAAAATAACGATAAAAGATCAATCGTGACCCTTTCGACCTCTAAATGTTATAAAATACCACCAGCTGAATACTGTTTACGTTTTTATACACTTCATCTGAAAGCAAAGGACAACTAGATACTGCGACAGGGCTCTTGGAGTCTGGATTTTAAAGTACTGTTTCAGTTTTGTTTTTCAAATTTCGATTATATAGATGCGGCATTTACGGCTTTTAATTAAAATTATCGAATACCAATACGGACGACAACAACATCAATAATAAAGGAATAATACTCAATGATAAACAACAAATATTATATTTAAGTTTGTACCCATTTCCCATGTAGTTAACATGACCTCATAATGAAGAAAAAAGGTGAAAAAAATACAAAAACGAAGGTAAAATCGTATTAATCCAAGTAAATCCCCCCTGAGCCTCTACCTTAGCGATAATTCATTATTTACAATTTCATTTTACGGATATAATTGACAATCAAATAAAACTATAAATGTTCTCTTTATTTTAAAGTCTGTCGTTGTCCTTTTGGTAAGATGGCGCCTATCTGTGACCTGCCCCCTCACGGAGAAGGAAAAAGCCATAAATCCGTTGTTGTTTATGAAAATTTACAACTTTGCAATACAACTTTACGAGTTGCTCAGTATTTCCATTGGCCGCTGACGGTCATGTGGATTGTAGCCGTGAACATGAACTTTTTTATAATTTCCCTTTCGAGAATAGAGCTGCATTCTTCTGCTTAGCTCCGTTCTGCTTCGGATCGCTTCTGAGCTCGCTTGTCTTTTGTTCTTTGTTTTATCACATGAACAATGTGGACCGAGAGTCGGCTTGTACGGAGCCTCAGAGACGATTCCTTGGTTGGGAATTTTAGATTCCTGCACTGGAAGGAGTGGCATAACGGATTGAAAGCAACAACATATTCCAAGCTACAGCCGGGCTGATTTCCTGATCCTTTTGGCACGGTGAGATAGGAAGGGTCGTGTCTACCTGTCAAACTGGCTACTGTAAAACACCAACAAGAGTTATTAATTCGTTCAAGCCATCTTGATGAGAGGTAAGAGAATGGTCTACTTAATTACGTAATGAACAGCACAGTCGGCAGAAGCATAATTTCTTATAGGATATATCTAAATTATGTTTGAAAGTCACCCAACGTGTGTTGTCAATTTTACTTGTAATAGTTGTTGCTGGTGAGTGTTTGCGGCTTCTAAAGTATTTCTGACCAGAAAAAAAAAACTGAAACTGAGACCATCAATCCTGTTGGAATGAAATATTCATTGGCAAAGTACATGCACTGTACGTATATTTTATCGTTTTTTCTGGCATGTAACAGATTTGAATCAACTTCAGTTGTTCTTAGATTAATTTATTTCTTATTTAACACGCAGCAACAATATGTGACATCAAAACCTATAATTTTATTTTTTTACTCAATGTCATTAACAGGTTTTAGAAATTGAAGAAAACATATTCGTTAATGGGTTACACTTAAGACCCATAATATTCACCGGTAAATTTGTTTTGCAAATGTCATTTTGCAATTTCGGTACCTGGTTAGACAGATGAGTTACCATTTAGTATCAAAATCTATATATTTTTCTTTACTCTGACGTTGTAATGTTTTGAGGTCTCCAAAGGCTTGCTTTACCTTTCAATGTGCAGAGTCAAGCTAATGATAACGTTTTTAATAATATAGTAATTAGAGAAATATTTATTTGCTTTCGTTTGATATTCCTTCATGATCTGAGTGCCTTATTGTACGCAGCCACTGAGAAAGGTAGAAACAGCTTGTTGCTCGAGGTCGCCATCTTGTGGTAAGAATGAACACTGTATCACGACGGAACCTGGGTTCTGTTAAATAAGTGTTTTGAAAGACTTTAAGAAAGACATCGGTCAGCGTTGAATAAGTGTGTTAAAATATTTATTATTGTCAAGTGATACCATTTATATTTTCTATTTAATATCTGAGATAATATTTTGCCAATGTCCATTGTACGAACATGGAATACTATTACTTTTACATTTAGCGTTGCAAAAATACATGTAGAAAAATAATTATACATATTAACACAGTTCGAAAAGCATATAAAATCTTGATTGCAGACCTAATCGAATTTTAACAAAACTACTGGTCAGATAAAAAAAGATTTTCCTCAATACGATACAAAAGTAGACAGCCATGTTGAGGATAAAAAGGTCTATCAAGTTTATTTGTTACTAAAAGCATAATACAAGTAATGCATACTCTCGTATTGCTGTTCTTCTTAAGATTTTCCTTATTTTGTATGACCTTATTGCTTTAATTAGTTTTTAATCTTTATTTAATTACCTTCGCACCCGTGGTGCACGGTTATAACATTCGTACTCACTGGTATCACTGTGTACGTGTTTTCACTTTGATCGAATGATATCTAATCAATTCTAAATCAATTCAAATCAAAGGCTTTCCGTAATTTTTGAATACAATAATTGTTAATAATTTGTGACCTAGACAAAAAATTATCATATTTAACTGTCAATAAACTCCAAAGAGCAGTCAAAATATACCGCTTCGAGACATGGCCTGCTTTTGCGTCTTGATCATCTGGAGTTTCGGCTTCGGGTTCCTTGGTGTTGATTATCTTCGGAGTTCGGTGAATAATTAAACAAATCTGTTGAAAAAAAATAATTCAAGTGATAAAGACGGCAGGTGGAGAAGAAACCGACACACTTGAATGTGATTATATTCAGTCAAAACACTGTATTTGTTTTGGAAACCGGACAGCACTTTGGTTTTGTTCAAATTAACAGATAATATAACGCCTCAGGTTAGAAAACGTTATTTTAGCACCGCTTGGCAATTCAGCACAAAATTGAGTATTTTTAGATATTTGCAGCGTATGTATACACGAGGTAATGATCGCTGTGGACACAATACGTAATGCAATTATGCAGTAAACCATCAACCGCCAAATATCACAAGATCCTGTGTTAGAGTTACAGCAATCCAGAGCGCTCCGAGCCTTCTAACAGTACGTGCTTATTTAAGCTTCTTTACGCCTGTGAGGAAATTAGAGGCCTGCGACTTTCCAGCTGTCACCCAGAGTCATCTCTTAAATACATAACACAGGGTACATTAAGCATTTTCAATGATGACTAGCAAGCAATGTATTTACGTGTATAACGGCAACAATAATCATTATCTACATAATTATTATAGTCCGTCAATGATGCTAATACCAATAACATGCTCAAGCCTTACAATCAGAGCTGACAAATGTTCTATGTAAGATTTAGAATTCTACTGCAAAAATAATTGGTAATTGTACAGAAAATTATTCTCATCTAAGCTTACTAACAGCAGATTTCACAATCGTTCGTGTATAAATTCGTATTTCATATATGAAAATACATACCTCTAAATTTCGCACATCTAAAATACTCCGATGTTTTTTTTTGGACACGTTCATTTAAACTTGTGTGCATCTTCCGAACAGTCACGTGTACATATGTGTCGTTTGGTTCAAAATACGAGCTTTGAAAAACAGTATTTTTATTTACAGAAGAAAGCAGTAAGTTACACACAAAGTGTAGGTGAGGCTGTTTTCGTTTTCGACATCATTGCACTCTGTTCTTTCTCGGTTACAAAAACAGTCCGGTGGAATGTCTTATTGAACTCTAATTGGCCGGCTCCCGGTTCTGGACTGATGAGGCTGTTTGTAAGTTTACTGGTTGTACGGCGAGTACCCTGGGGAGTGATGGCTCTGTGGAGCGGTTTCTATTGGCCAGCGGACAATCAGCTGGTTATATTCGCTGCTGTCGCTTTTGGCGCTTAGCCACCTAGAAACAAACCTTGGGCGACCACTAATAGTTATAGCCAGATGTACAAACACACAACAAATCACAATAGTTCGGTTTGTGGCGCAAATGAGTTCGTTTTTTGTGAACCCAGCTTTCCCTGCCTCCCTTCCCGCTGGGCAGGATTCTTTCCTCGGACAAATCCCGCTGTACACATCTGGCTATGATGCACTCAGGCACTTCCCAGCTCCTCATGGACCCTCTGCGATTCCAGACAAGACTTTTCCACCCCCTTGTTTCTATCAGCAACACAACACTGTGTTTAACACCAGAGCGCCTTATGAGTATGGGCCGTCCTGTTATCACTCAGACAAGGATCCAGTGAGCGTTTACCCCGCGGGCAGCGACAAGCAGGGGGCAGGCGACAGTTGCCTGCAGTTCTGTGGTGACCAGCACTGTAAACCGGACTGTACACAAAGCAAAATCTTCGGCAATGAGCCCCCCGACCGGAAGTACCCTGCATCAGCTCACCCGTGGATGCAAAGGATGAACTCTTGCAATGGTGAGTACAGAGCTCAACTCGCCATCATTCCTGCAACTTTGCAAACTTATGCGAGAAGCTGAAATAATTTCTACTGTTGCACCTCTGAGTTTCTGTAGACGAAACGTGAAACTCTTTTGATAAAATTTTGCTCTGTCAACTTTGTAGCGTGAATCTCAGGGCTATGCTTCTTCACAAAACTTAAAAGAGTTTAGATTTCTAAAAATAGAAAGTGTTGTGTCCAAGATTAACTACACCGTTTGCAAACGTACAGCTGAATGTAGTTTGAGTGGCAGTTTCTGACATGCTCATGTACTACGGTGATAACTGTCCTTTCCAGGATTGCCACTAAATGTATATTTAATCTAAAATGAGGTGTGGACTGCATTGGATGTAAAAAATAGTCTGGTCAATTTTTTCCTTCTCTCCAGCTTCAATATATGGATCGCACGGGAGACGTGGGCGCCAGACCTACTCCAGATACCAAACTCTAGAGCTGGAAAAGGAATTTCATTTTAACAGATATCTAACTAGACGCCGTCGTATTGAAATCGCTAACGCTCTCTGTCTAACAGAACGACAGATTAAAATATGGTTTCAAAATCGACGCATGAAGTGGAAAAAAGAGAACAAAATTCTGAGCTCAGCAGAGGAGAACAGCGAGGAAGTCAAAGAGAAAACAGGGGAGTGCTCTGTGTAGCCCGCTTGTGCTTGTAGGCCTTTCCTGCGATGTGGAAATTCAGAACAATATTCTACTAGTTAATTTACGTATATATTTATTTATTGCTGTGATACAAAAAATGAAAAATATTTTATGTAATCCAATTAGAGCGTCACATATCTTAATTTAAAAGTAACCGTAAGCAATATTTAAATGTTACTGAAATAAGAAATTCAGATCTATAGATTAGGAACATGTCCAATAATTGTTGTTAGATTCATTTTTTTATTTGATGTAGTTTTAGAAAAATAATAATTCCGATACTTTTCCGTTAAGAATACGGACGTTGTTCCGAAAATGTCTTCTTTATTGCTCTAGTGATTTATTTAAAAAAATAGCTATGAAATTTGTTTTTCCAGAAACCAAGTGTGAAGGTGTTTCGCCGTCTGAAGGCAAGGAATGTGGCGAATTTACATAACCGCAGATACAACGCGTACACTGTGCGAAATGTTATTATTATGAACGGATTCGAGTGTCGGTACTGTGATTTAATATAAATCATATATTATAAAAATACACCGTAATTATGTTTCAGCATGAATGGGCGCAAAATTATAACTGTTCCCGTTTTTGACCAAATTAAATATACCGGACCCTACACTATTCAATGATTTCAAATCCAACCAGGGGACGTTTTAATAAAAAAATATACTTAACATTATTTTTTCTTCATCTTAATGCATTATAAAGAATATACGTAATGTTTATCACATAGCACTTAGCTTATATTCCGGAATATTCCTCGCCTTCAGATAGCGATTTAGCTTTAGGCAAAACACTGCCTACATTCACCCAGCGAGTATAACATTCATTCCTGTTATAACCCTAAACGCGGTAAGAAAGGAACTATGAGATAAAACAAAAGCGCGCACAAGGAATATCCGTGTTGTGGGTTAAAAAAATCGCAGGCTTTATGTTGTTACGCATTTACAGTAATTAAAGAAAGATATGATATCCTCAAAAGGAACAGAACAAAATAACCGAAGCCTTAAGGATCAAATAACTCTCCAGCGGAATTACATTGCTTACTACAGTTAATTTAATTACAATTCCATCCGCGGCTGCGGTTCAATCCAAACAGTGTGAAGAAGTAATCGCCGGGAAATATCAAATTGTCAAAGGAGCGAATATTATATTTGTTTTTGCGGCGAAAAGGCGCAATAAAAAGTCATAGCGTTCAGGCTGCATTAATCATATCATGAATAAAACGCGAGTAATACTGCAGCAATGCCTGTTAACCTTTATTCGACCCCTGCCCGCACTCCCCTGATCGAAACGGGCAGTTCGGCCGAGTCTCCAGAGGGTGGCGCAAGACGACAACTGAAGCAGCCGCCGGAGCGCGGCGCCCTTCCCCGTGCGCGCTCCCAGGCGCCGGCATCCACCCAGCTCTCCTGTTTGTGCACGAGTTTACCTCTGGAGGTCATCAGGCAGGATTTACGACTGGACAACAAAAGCACGTGACTCAAAGTCGTACCCCATATTTGGGTGCCTACGTAGGAGGGAATCAAGTACATGTCCCAGTCATTTCCATAATTCATCATAAATTGTGCAGGGGTGCTATAGACGCACAAAACGACCAAGACCACAAATCAAGCACACACATATCTTTTTTTTTCTAAAAAAATAGAACAATATCAACAAATGAGCTCTTATTTTGTAAACTCATTCTGCGGTCGCTATCCTAATAGCCCGGACTACCAGTTACATAATTATGGAGATCATAGCTCTGTGAACGAGCAATACAGAGATTCTGCGACCATGCATTCCAGCAGGTACGGCTACGGTTACAATGGGATGGATCTTAGTGTCGGGCGCTCGACCTCCGGTCACTTTGGTTCTAGTGAAAGGGCTCCCAGCTACACATCTAGTGCAACAGCCGCATCCGCAGAGCCCAGGTACAATCAGCCTGCCTCCGCGACTCACTCGCCACCTCCTGACCCTCTACCCTGCTCCTCCGTTGCCAGCTCGCCTCTCGGCGAAACTCACCGCGCTGTTAAAAACTCCATAGCCAGCCCTAATACCTCCTCCTCTAGTTCGAGCAGCAGCAGCGCTCTCTTAACCAGGGACGGTGCAGGCAAGCCGCCTGCTCCCCAGGATGACAACTCGGCGGGCAGCGTCCAGACAAATTCACAGAACGGCCAAAACGCGAGCGAAACATCACAGCCCCAGATATATCCCTGGATGAGAAAGCTGCACATAAGCCACGGTAAAACTGCTTCTCTTTTCTTTTATTCATTTCAGTGTGTTGTTACTGTTATTCCGACTTGTTTTTCCTTGGACACTGAAATGCAGCATGGTGGGATTAAATGATACCGCATGTTTTAACCGAGTGTGCGTGGTTGCCCGAGACGGACCACAGCATGAAGTTGAGGATGGTGTGGTGTTTCATGCACATTCTGTGTCCATTCAGGAAAATGCAAACAAAATGTTTGCAGAATGCTGACTATCGGGGCGGATTCACAACGGCATCCCCCAAAGCACGGCTCACAATCTGCTCGAATTTTAACCTTGAAGAGAGGTCTTCGTGCGTTTGTTCTTGCAAATGACGGTTGGGATTCAGAAGTTTTAATATATTTGACAGACGCCTCTCTGTCGCATATTGGCAATGAACGTTCATTTCAAAAATAGAAAATTCAGATGCTGGCTAAAATAATATACATCAGTGATTTTTCTTCACTACTTTTCTGACCAATGATGACCAGTGGAGCCTAGGTAGTACCAGGCAACCAGTGACTATATTCTTATTGTAATTGAACGCCATTGTTGTTGTGCTTAGTGAATTCGAGGGATTTAGGATATGTCTGATTAAGAGTAAACAGTGTAAGTGATTTTTCCCACTTCCAATTATTATTATTATTATTATTATTATTATTATTATTATTATTATTATTATTATTATTATTATTATTGTTCTTGTTGTTATTATTATTATTCTAGTGATGTAAGTGATGTGGTTCTGTGTCACAGACAACCTCGCAGGACCCGAAGGGAAGAGAGCTCGAACAGCCTACACACGCTACCAGACGCTGGAGCTAGAGAAAGAATTCCACTTCAATAGGTATCTGACCCGGAGGAGGAGGATTGAGATAGCTCATGCTCTGTGCCTCTCGGAGAGACAGATTAAGATCTGGTTCCAGAACAGGAGAATGAAATGGAAAAAAGATAATAAACTGAAAAGCATGAGCATGGCAGCAGCCGGAGCCGCGTACCGTCCTTAATTTCTAAGCACTTGAAGAAGTACTGGCAATAAACCGACGGACTGTTCCAGTCAGAGCGACAGACTTTCCAGAACTCCTGAGCGCTGGGTCAAACACATCCTTCAGCTCCAGCCTTTTAATCCTTAATCCGTTCAACTGGTCTTGCTTGTATGATTACAGCTGCTTTCTGTAAAACTTTGTCTTTTATCGGCTTAGTGTTGACAAAAAAATGGGGTAAACGTTTTAACTTATTTACTGTACTAAGGAGCAAAATAAGCTTGTGTTACTTAAAGTAACAGTAAAATCCGTTTAGTACAATTGTTATGTGTTGCACTCTAATTAAAAAAAATAACGAAAATAATAATATGTGTTGCTAATATGTGTTATGTATTTGTATGCTGAATGTCTAAATAGCTCCAAGCTGTCAAGGAAATACTGGTTTCTTAAAATCGACGTTTTCTTTGTAACCAATGCTATCGTTAATTTAAAATACTGAAATACTACCTACCTTGTATATCTGTAACTGTAGTGCGTTGTGAACACGTGAGGGAACAATGATTCCACAACTTTATGTCCTTGCTGTGCCTTTGTATGACTCTTTGCACGAACTTCAGTAAGTTGCTCTTGAAAGCGCAGCGACAGTGATGTGTGTTTTTGTGAAAAGGTATTCAGCATAGTCATGGCTTGGCTGTCTGAACAGATCGTGATCGCTTTTGTATTTGTTTTTAAGAATGACTGGAAGTAACAATAAAAATAATAAACTTTCTACAGTTTTTCATGTATTGTGTGTTGCATTTCGGCACTTTGTGCTCAAAACAAATTTGGGAAAATGCGGCCTTCACGAGTGTACTAGACTGCCCTACTTGATGCAGCTACTTGCGCGGAAACGTTTAAAATTAATCCAGCTTTAGTTTTATCATACAGCCGTTATCCTTGACGCAGTGAAAACGAAACCAAACGAATAGCGTGAACCCATTTAGCAAAATGAAAGATAAAACATAAAAATTGATTCATTGCCGCAGATTTGTTCTAGATTTATGTTTAAAATTGTTGACTTATCAGACTCTAACGCGACTTTTCTGTTTGTCGTCTCTAACGTACTTAAGTTTCTTCTCACTAGAAATTCAACAGGTCAAAAAAACAGATTTAACTGTACTCACCCATAATTACGCGCCTGAGACTAAATGCTCCTTACCACTACACAGAAGGATGGTCTGTGCTTCTCTATCCTAAATGGCAACATTCTGAATCCTTCTTTAAGTTTAAAGCCGTAAACTTTATTATCCCAGTTCCGGCTATATATGACATTTGGGTGCCAAATGAATGGGGTTTTGTCTATGAATTAGATCGTAAAATCATCCATAGCACAGACAGATAGGCTCACTGGCTATAAAAAGTCACGTGGTGCCATTAAAGTAAGTTTTATGGTTTTGGGGAGTTGACATCCAACAGTATATTGCACATAACATATAATCACACTGACGCAGGGCTCCGTTTGACTCTTTTGCAGGCTGTTAGTGTTCCCTGACCATAACACCAACTCTTCTTTCAGAGAGCGAACGATGCAGAAAGCACAGCCAAAGCACGTGAAACGATGGCTACCGTCTCAAGGTAAGCTGTTTAAAACCAGCCCGTATTTGTTGCTCCTTTGGTGTGTTTCTGTTAACTCCTCCCCAGCGTGCTGGGTTTGTGAATGGGCTTTGTGTCTTTGTTTCTGGTTACTTCACTCTAATTTGACAATTGGGGTGGTTGGAGTATAACACTTGGCAGATGTTGAGATGGAGGCCTAATGTTAACTAAGTGGTCTGTCCACAGTAATTTACTTGATTCCTTTGCTATGTATCTTGATTTGTCTTCCATATCTTCTTGAAAGTGTATTGCCTTTCTTGATATTCTAGTGTTATTACATTGTACATCCCCCTTTTGGAATTAACTGTTAACTAACTTTGCAAACTTTTTTCGTGGCTGTGTAGACCATCGCTGGTTAGAAAATCTTAGATCTCTTGGGAGTTTATAAAGGAGCGTGCTCATGTTGTGGCGTGTAAGTTCTTTGAAACTGTTTGAAGATGGGTATGTTTGTTGCAAGGAAAAGTTCGTTAAAATTGAAGTACAGTAATCCTTTAAAGAACCAATAATACATTCACCCTTAAAGTGAGAGGTCAGGGCAGTGAAAGCAGAAAAGACACGCCTTCTTTGAACAAGCGGCTGTTTCCACAAAATGTCTCCTCACAACATTCCAGTGCAATTAACCGAGTTTTATGATATGCAATAAAAACTGGGGTGTAAACAAAGGGAGAAGTCTTGTGTCTTTGAAGGACGGTTCCGGCTGTGGCTAGGATGTAGCTTTTATCTGGGAAACTTGATTTGTTTTCGGTTGTTAAATTGGGAGGACACCTGAAATTTGTCATTGACGTGAAAAATTCTTCCCATGCTTTGAATACAAAAAAATGGACAGTTTTATGAAATGTGTTGTTAAATACATTTACATATTCATGCACACGCATTTCAAGGCTGCATATTATCCTTTGGCTTTTTACAAGAAACACGGAATGTTATACACAGATTGCTCTAGTGCGAGGCGTTAAAGTTTTTGCAGCATTGTCCTGACACTAATACAGCCAAAACGACAGAAATTAAACTTGACAAAGGAGGGAAAGATTAAACATCCCTTACTAATTTGAAATAAAATCGGGTCGTGACTAGAATTTTTGTTTCTAAATTTGTGAAAAGATAATTGAAAAAATGTATGAAACACCATTCTACTGAATGTGTAATAATTTATTTCGGTTTGTAGGAGGACACCAATTCTGTTTAACTATATTATATCGTTTCCCGTTTTTTTTTCTTTTGGGGGGAAAGTTGAATATGAAATGTCAGAATAGGTTATTCTGCTATACATGGAAATTTAGATTTTGCGGATTCAGGAGGTCAGATTCTAAAAAACGTTTCCCCTTTGAAGGAATTATAATAATTTGCTTAACTTTATGTAGGCCTGCTGATTTCGTGTGTTTTTTTTTTTGAAAAGCATTCAGACATTCGGAAGTTCGCAGATATACAACTGATACAACCGCATGCAGCCTGTTGGATTGTGTCTTTGTTTGCCTTCTGGTTTCTTGGATGACCGAAACGTTCTGCACGGGAGCTCGAGGCCTGTAGCCCTATAGGTCTGATAGTGTCGCTCAACAGGAACTGAAGCGAATGATTCGGAAAATCTAATATTATTTTCAAAATAAAACGGATGACCATCCAAATCAAAGAAAACACTGCTGTGATGCGTGAACTTTTTCAATTTTAATAGTTCTTGGTGCTGTCATATGTCTGCATCTTGGTTTATTGAGCAGGTACAACAGATCTAAAAACGGATTATGCAGAAACTTGTCACAAACGAAACCATGAAAGTGTCTCCACCACCGTCACACTTACACGTGCTTTCCCTCGTTATGATTTGCAAAGCCTGAGCCGCAGTCCCTTGATCGACAGATACACATGGGGACAGCTTCTTAAATTTGTGCCTGGGGTCCCCAGTAGAAGGATATTTTTGTATCATAAAAATAAAAACGCACACGACACGGGCATACAAGCAAAACGTCGTGTTGATTTCAGAAGTTTGTTGTTTTGTTTTGAATTTTTTTGGAGAGTTGTTAAGGAATTTCATTTTCTGTAAGAGCAAGACATTCGGAGCCAATGCGCCTGTTTCAAATTGAGAATATTTTCATTTGAAAGCAGAGTTACATTTTCATAAGAAACTAACGACTTATTTGTAAAATAGGTTCAGTGATGTTTTATGTTAAAATCTGTTCTGTTATACTTAAATCAGATCAAATTGGACAGCCAAGTTGAATCTATTTAAAATAAAGTGTCAGCACCAACGAGTTTCGTTTGTTCTGTCGTGATAAGGTCGTGTTATTTCCGAATCATCGGGTATCTACTGTTTTTAACTTTTTACAGAACTGTTTTTCTTTGCAAACCATGAAAGCTAAGTCGGAGAAAACGCTCTCATTCAAATGAATTCGTTTCACAATTATCCTTCAACTGGGCTGTTTAAGGAGGCTCTTCATGACATGAAGTAGGAATATTTTACATTAAAAAACAAGACAAACCAATACTGCTGCATTAAAACGACAAGGAAATTGTTTAGTGATATAATGAAATCCAACGAGAATTCTTGTATACGCTTTAGTAGTGCTGAAAATCGGTACACTGAGCTGTGGACCGTGTCACGGCATGAAAAATAGCTCTCCGAGCAGTTCACCGCGAGGTCAAATAAGGCAAGACAGATGAATCTGCACACCCCTGGAGTCACCAGCAGAGCTCGCTTTAGGCCAAGTTCATCGTCAATGCGCCATCCTGCACAGCATCGTGTGCGCCCAGGCATTGTTCCAGACTCTCCCACAAATGTGCACATTTATTCAGCGCCAGGCAATTATTCAAAACGAATTTAACCGCTGAGTCTTAATACACAACTTTTACATACGGTGTTCACCAACACAGACCTAAACCCCTCATCATGATGCTTTATTTATGTCTTTATGCATTGGATTGACACAATTATAGGCGATTTTTAAAATACATTTGCTTGAGGTTTTTTTCCCCTGCATTCATAAGCATTCCCGATGACCGCTGTGCAGGGCAACGTTGACATATTGGTTTGTATCTGTCTTTCTGGGTGAAACCGGCCCAACAAGAAGAGGGAGAGAAATCACATCACATATGACGAACATATTCGGTTTGAATGAGGCTGCCTTTACTGTTAGTGCCCCTTAGCGTAAGAACCTCTCCTTTCCGCATTGATAATAATAATCATAATAATCTGTCCCCAAAAGAGAGACACGTTCTGCTCCTGCCTCACGCGAGACGCTGCAGCACACGGAGCGGCAGACACATCGCGAGTCGGGGCGGAGGAGAGAAGGAAAAATGAGGGTCAAAAGTTTACGGTCTGCACAACCCTTCGTCATCCGCACAGACAGAGTTTGATGTCAGTGTTATAACAGCGATCTTGACTATCAACACAAAAGATAAAATAGCTTTGAATTACACATGTATCACTCTGGACTCCAGGTGAACTCAGGCTCTGGGGCGACCTCAATTATGTACCACGGGAAACGGGGACTTCTTTTCACGTTTAAAATGTGCTGGATTTCAACCAGAATTTGCATCACGACTAATGGCTCACATTTTCTTACATGGAACGTTTTGTCTCTAGATACACCGTTTAAAAACACTTTTAGTTTTGCAAGCTTATGGTCTTTAAACTGTTCAACTGTATATGCAATAAAACAATTATATGCAATCCACATTTTACTGAAAGAATTGGCAATTATTCCTGCTGCTGCTTCACGAATCAGTGTTAATGAAAATAAAAGACAGAAAAACCTCACGCGAGCACTCAAGAATGGTTTCCTTATTTAACTTCAGCCTTATCGCTTTGAATGTATTAGACACGAAACAGAACCCGGCAAGTGATAAAATCCTGTTATTGTTAACTGCATTTTTCATCTAAAGATCACACTCGCGTCACACGAGTTTCTATAATATGTTAATATCTCCAAGTACCCACAGCAATCTGGTGCCTTGCAGCGAGGTCCCCCTTAGAGCTCTCATGTTGCTATTGAAATTGCACTGGGTCAAAACCGCAAGTTGGATGTGTTTCAACGGTTCGGTACGCCAAATAAAATCCCAGTGTAGATATTTTCTGGCTTGACGACTATGCCACCGGATTTAAAAAGAATATGTAGAACACATTCTTTTATATGAACAGACAACATTTTAAAATTTGTGATCATGCAGATAAAGACGCCCGTCACTCTATCTTTAAGATTGCTGATCGGTTTTATTCTTGCTGGAATCCAATAACACTATACAATAAATATTTTAACTAGCCAACTAACTCCTCAGTACAGTATATTACAAAAGGGTATATATACTCCGATTAAAGGGGCACAGGGAGGAAAATAGAAACTGATTACGAACTACGAAATATGCTTGTCATGAAGAAATTTTAGTAGCTATGAGAAGAGTTCTATTTTGTAAACATTTGATCAACATCAATAATGCTACTGAATTCTAAATACGGATTTACAACAGTAATGACAATAAATTATGAATGTTTTGCAAAGCTCTGGAAGTTTACTTAGGTCAAGCAAGGAATGATTTTGATCTGCACTCTTTCGTGGTCACTGGCAGCGAATCCGGCATCTTCAAGACAACTTGTTTTTCGTTTGGCTAAAGTAAAAATATCTGTTCCATACAGGTTTCAACCGACCATGAGGCAAATACACACGACTTATTAAGAAGTGAAAACAAATTGAAATAGATCTTGAACAATCGACACAGTTTCTCGTCTTTGGTTGATCTCCCTTTCGGCCCGATAAGGACAGCAAGCTGACCAAAATATGTCAACAGCAACAACAAAAAAATCAAAATCTCTTTCCTGTCAAACAGTGTCTGATATTTTTTCAGGCGAAAATAATTAATTAGAACGTTTAAAATTTTCTGAATTTAAATTTTACTTTTTACATTCGCTGTCTTTTAAGGAGAATGGAGTATTCTGAAGCAGCGTGGGAACTTGACCACTTTCCTCTTTCTGTCGCCCTTCGCTTTCACAGATAAACCTTCTCGCCTGCTGTATTGTGCTGTAAATATTTGTGTGTGTGCGTTCCGACACGTATGACACGAGTGCGGAGGATTCAGGGAGATAACAAGCGAAAACAAAACAGACCGGTCTTGGGCTATAATTCTCTTTTTTACATTTCGGAAAAAATATCAATGTAATGTAAGACATAAATAATAGTCCTAAATAATAATAATGCTAGATTGGTTAGATTTCTAATTTATTTTTATGTAAAATAAAGAAGTCAAGAAAAGAATCTCAATTTTTTTGAGTGGCTATCAACTTCTTTACTTTGTTGTGCATATGCTAAGAAGCGTCAAAGAAGAAGTGCATTTCTGGCCTCACGACTGAATTGGTTCACGCTTTGTAATGGCAGTTCTTAGCTGTTTTGTCTCTTTGGTGCTACGGGGAGTTGACCTGGGCAAAGCAGTTAGTTATCTCCCTCGAACTGCATGCAGTTTCCAAAAGGCTAAGTCCAAGGGTGAGGTGAACTTCAGGTCACTGAGTCTAACAAATATGAAAATCTTGCCTCTTGAAGGACGCGCCTTGTTATTTAACAAAGAGGTGTCAGTGTCCAAGATTAATAAGAAACAAAATGCCGACGGTGCCACTTTTGGGTCACTTGTAGGTTCGCATACAAGAGTGAGGTTTGAACTCATCCGAAATGTACGCAAAAAAAACTCTCGACACAGACAGCGGGCTCCGCAGTAGGAAAGGGACATGGTGGATACCGACGGATGTTTTGCGCAACGGGGTTTGCTCCATTTGTGACGGCAAAAATACAAATACACCACGTCTCCGAACCATTCCGGTACCGGGGGAGCAGAGGGCGAGGCGACAGTGGACAGGGGGGCGTACTTGGCACGTGAAGACTGTCCAGAGGACGGTGCCTCGTGCAGCTGAAGGCGGCGGTACTGCTGTTGGCCAGAGAGCCCAGTGCCTCCTGCCTGGTGCCAGTTCTGTTCTGTCTCCAAGTGCAGCCTTTCATGGTTCAGCGCCGAGTCGAATGAATTATTCTTACAGCGTTTTGAGGTTGAAAACAATCTTACGTGGAGAAAATTCATTGTTTTACAGGCATATCGATAACAGTGCAGATGTTCTACCATCTCAGTAACAAATAGCACAACAATATTCGATTAGGTTGTAATCTACTCACCTAAAGGCTATTTTCATTGGTATCTGCTAAATTTGTAAAACACGTTAGAATAGGGCAATAAAATAACTATATTTTTTTTAATGCAGCAGCGTCAGATAAATCGTCTTTTCGCTTTTCTTTTAAATCTTCCTCCTTTTCAATATCGTAGAGAGCAGTTGAGGTTTTGGGGGTTACCGGAGCGAAGCACTGTGAACCAGGAGTGTGAACTCCTGCAGTACCCTGGGTTGTGAAAGAATGCTCCGGCAGTCCAGTACCGGATGCAGACAGGGAAATAATATATATTACATTTCCTCTGACATCCACAATACAGAGTAATTGAAATCCAATACAGTCTATTTCTTTTTTTCATAATTTTCATGCAGTTTGTCTCTCTGTTTTTTAAAATAATGTGAATAACGCAGAGGAGAATCCATCGAAACAACAAGACTGTTCTTCACAAACCCCGCTGTTACAAATACAGCAGTAACTCGCCCTGTGTGGGAACCGGCAGCTGTGTAAGCGATCAGCTTCTGCTGTTATCGATTTCATTTTACAGCGATGCGCGTATTTTGTTCGCAAGAATGAAGTAATTCCGTGACATTTCTGAAGATTGCGTTTTCCTGTTTTGTGGTGTTTCGCATGGGCCTTAATAGTTAACTTTATAAAACAATAATTTCATGGATTAAAAAAGAATATAATATAATCATTAGAAGAAAGGCATTTATATTTTTTATCTTTATCGTTGTCATAATTTAACAATCAAAGATGTTTAAATAAAGAAGAATAATGTATGAACAGATACGTAGAATAGTCATAACACACATACTCTGAACGTTTAAACATCTAAAAGTAAAGCAATAGATCTTATCTCAGAGAGTCACAAATCTTGACTATGCTCCACCCCAGTTAGAGGACGGGTTTCTGCAAGGGAAGGGTGAATTCTCATTCAATATGGGCGAGAGCGGGATCGCCGTAGTTGTTATTTTTACTTACACTAAATTAAAACTTTCTTATGTATTTCTCTCGTTTAATCATAACGAATATAATCTACGCAGATGTGCCATGTCAGTTGAATTATACTCTTTGAGAAATTGGTTTTGTAACGTCGCTTTAGTAACCATTAACCTTGTTCTATAGATCCGAAAAATCTCTTTCCAAGGAGAAATGTTGTCGTTTGCAAATATTTTTTCATGCACTTTGGCTTCCACAGTTAGAAGCTACAATAATAATAATAATAATAATAATAATAATAATAATAATAATAATAATAATAATGGAGAAAATGAGAAATAATTATCTCCAAAAAAGCAGTGTTTTGGAAAACATGTTCAATATCTCTGTGTTTTGCCGTTTAGCTGTAATGTCATTAGGCAGCAGAACTGTTGACGGCGTGACCGGTGTCGCTGTGCCCATGTCTGACCTGCCATTGGCGTCTGCGTGCGCGGTGCCCACCAGAGACTCTGCCATTGGTCCTTCCCTTCACGTGATCACGCAACTTTGTACATTTGACAGGGAGTAGGAGGGTTCTGTGGAGATCAGAAAAACGACAACGCGAGAAAAATAGTATTTTTTCCTTGCTCAAATTAATGACCATGAGCTCGTATTTGATAAACTCCAACTATATCGAGCCTGCTTTCCCTTCCTGCGAAGAATTCTCTCAAAACAGCTATATGCCCACCCCCTCTCCCGAGTATTATGAGCGGCCGAGAGATCCTGGATTCCCTCGTCACGAGGCTCTCTACCAGCGGTCCAACTACAGGGAGCAGAGCTACGGCTACAACAGTATCCATACGAATGGACCGGAAGACGTCCCCCAGCAAAGTCGCGCTCAGCCCCAGCCAGCCCTTCGGAACCAGGCTCCGAGCCGTAACCAGGGCTGTGAGAGACCAGCCCTCGCCACAGCCTGCCGCGGGAACGAGAGAGCGGCGGCCGTGCAGAAGGAAGCCGAGCCGGTGGTGTACCCCTGGATGAGGAAAGTGCATGTTAACACCGGTAAGTTATGCCACAGCCTTAAAACGAGACCACTCTCCGTCAGTCACCTCCTCGAAAGTGTAAAACCCCTTTGAAACCGCGGCCCCTTTCAGGAAATTTACGAGCGCCAAACTGCTAGGTCAGTAATTAAAGCCCCTCATAAATTCTATTGCCATGTACCGTCCCTGAACCATGTGTCTTTGCCTGCCTTCTAACCCAGACTCTCACTTTCTGCTGGACTGCAGCCAATGCACTATATTCCTGCTGTGTTGCTTCTTGCATTACCGTTTTCCCTTGAATTTGACGATAACGCTGCTTTCCTTGTATTTAGTAACGAGCAGTTTTAATGGAGGAGAGGGGAAGAGGTCTCGGACTGCCTACACCCGACAACAGGTCCTGGAGCTGGAGAAGGAGTTTCATTTCAATCGCTACCTAACCAGGCGTCGACGAGTCGAGATAGCACACACGCTGTGCCTGTCTGAACGCCAGGTCAAGATATGGTTTCAGAACAGGAGGATGAAGTGGAAGAAAGATCACAAACTGCCCAACACTAAAACGCGCGCTACCAACCCGTCACCTGCAAGACAGCAATCAAGGACGCCCAGCCAGACCCAGGAGCCACTGAGCTCGGTGCCCACGGCCTCGGGGCTGGGTCTATAGACACAAAAAATACTCTGCGACCTCGTTGAACATGTGGACCAAAACTCGAGAAAACCAAAGTCATTCTTCAGTGACGGACCATTCCTCTCACTCCAGCCTCTCCCCCTCTTCACACAGACGGGCTGTTAACGGACGTGTATCTTGTTTCGATTCACACAGTCAGTGTCTGTATCACCTTTTTGTCACAAGGACTTTGCTAAGGTCGTGTTCTGCAGCTGTAAAGATTATTAGATGCTGTTATTGAAGGTTAATCCTGGGCTCTGTGCTCTGGGCACGAGTCCACTGTGCACTGCCACACATACAAGAGTTAATATGCTTTAGCCTCTGAGCTCTGTACATGAACTTGCAACATATCCCCAAATATCTGTGTGTAATAGAAGTCGTGTTTGATCCCCTTTTCTGAACCGTTGGGTGTGTGTAGTGTGTAAGCCAGGCCGTGTGTGCTTGTGGAAATCTGGTGCTAGCTGTGGATATCTGTTTGTAGTGTAGTCTAAAACGGAATGGCATTAAATGTCGTATTGATATTGAAAGGGACTATTTCAGACGAAACTTCAAATAAAACTTCATGTCGATGATTATTTATTACCTGCGATGGCTTGTAACTGTTTGCTTTCACAACACGTGGAACATTTAGTTCACAGTGACGGTTATTCAACATAGATTTACTCTCGATTTTCTGTACCTGTGTCACGAATCTACACACAAAACCATGTAAATCGTCAGAAACAAACATAACCATGCAGTTTCCGAAGAGGGGGTAATTCCTGATGTGAAGTTACATGACTTTGGTGTGGAATTTAATCCGTGTGATTGCATCACAAACAAACGTCTTTCTTCAGGAGAGCAGGAATAAAGTCGTTAAAAACTTATAAATTTGACACCTAGTCACTTCCAAAATGCGGAAACAGCGTTTAACAGTGTTGTCCTGAATAACTAAAATACATGTTTAACTACCGTTTTCTATAAGTACAGATAATTATTCTGAAAGTTATTTTACCAACATTTAAGACACATTATATAACGTTATAAACTTCCGTGTTGGGATTCGTTTTACACATCACTCGATTTTATTTAAATTATTTTCCTGTATTAGATTGTGCTGCAACGATAGAGCACTACAGGGATGTTGACTTTACTAACACCGGATTCTTCTTCGAAATTCAATAATTTAACAACCATGCAGACAAGACAAAAAAATAATATAATTCCAAAACACAAAACATTTTACTGTAGAGCCCTACACATTTTGCACGAAATTCGGCGAAAGTAACCAACGAAATTAAAACGATTTAGCTTTTTCAAGAAATAAAATACAGTCAAAATTCAGATTAATTATTTAAATCAGAGTGAAAAATGCTTAGTATGTTGTGAAATGGTACAAAAACAATTAAGGTTCGCTAAAAATAAAAGACATAATTATTTTATTTTATATTAATTTACTAATGGCAGTCAATGAAGCATTCCTGGAGAAAAGGCTCTCAGTCACTTAGTAAAATGGTGTTTTTTTATTTTCTGGTGACACCGGCTTGAATAATTTACTAAAGAGTCAGTGCAGATGTAAATTAAACGATAGAACTGTTAAGAGTTTTCTGCAGGGATAGAATAAAACATGTGAGATGTAGGTTTTAATCCGAGTTAATGCAAAACACAAACGGCATTACCAGTTAATTGTATAGAATATAGTTACAGATAGATTTTAGTTCCGTTACTTTTAATTTACTAAAAACGATGAAGTCCTTAAAGATTCAAATATATTTTAACCAAGAACCATTAATCAAGTTATTCAGTTAGGACTTCTTTTGTGTTTCTGCGGGAGCACTGAAAAGCGTTCGTGTGAACAGAATTCAAGAAACAAATCTCAGGAAGATAGCTTTGGTCAGCAGGCTAGCAGAGTGTTTTCTGTACAAAACCATATTTCGTTAGGTTTAGTACATATTAAAAAGTCAGATGAAATTTGGGCCTTTGTTTTGAAATTCCCTCGAATCGTGTAAAGTGATTTTAGATCTGACCATTGCATCGGTTAACATTTTTATAAAATATTTGATAACTAACGCTATTATTGTCTGGGTACATGGTTCAATTCAGATCTACCTGTAAACTTACGGAGCTAAGAGTGTATAAAATTCCGGACTGATATACAGTCGTCTCAGTTCAGAGCGCTGGCTTTGTTGGCCAAAACTGAACAATCAACGGGTTCACCAAAAGGACGCATATTCTACCCAATTATCTACTTCCAACTCTGTGGACTGAACCCTGACCTCTGTGTGTGTGTGTCCGACACACTAGCACAACGGCAACTATCCATTCCTCCCAAACTATATTAAATACAACTCAATCATGATAGATCATTTTAACAATCATAAGATTTCATTTAGAATTGCTTCTTGACGTTGTAAATGTGAAATAGTATACTCCTCCCTTAAAGCAAGGCAAGACAGCTGAGGCATTATCAATGCTAATTGTTCTTTCTAGATCCAAGGCTCTTTATTGCGCTGATTAAAATGTTAACGGGCTCGACGGTGGAAACTACTGCGCTACAACTCCGGTACCGCGGTACCGCCTGCTGCCATTCCTTTTGAATTGAGAAAGGGGTTTAGTTTCTTTGCCATGTGGGAAGTTGGCATTTGTTGTGCGCCATTCAACTTGTGATAAATCTAACAACCTGGAGTTCACACAAGGACGTCACAATTTCGTAGTGCCATAAATTAGAAATGAAATAATAGCATGACAACCTAATAATCGAGTTTACTATCAGCGTGTATTATTATAATATCATCAACATCATTAACATCATCATCTTCATCATCACATTAGACAGTTGTCACATGTTGCTGTCTCTTTCTTAGCTGCAGATAAGCAGATACTCTTTATGTATTATGTATTGTAGATCAATCCTTCGATTTTCTGGCGACTTCGAAAGCAATAATCGAATAAATGGTAACGGAGTGATGTCATATTAGAAAATCTTCCTGGAGACGTGTTTTTTAGACATGCATGTTTAAGGACCGCAGTGGAACAGCAGTCAAATAGAGACAAAATATTTGGAAACGACTCAGGGTCAGGGGAGTAATTTTTATAAAACCAGCAGTTTAATCCGTGAATTAACTGAACTCATAATGTCAGATTTGAAAAGAAGGGAAGAAAACTGCACCGAGCCATAGGCAAGGGTCAGCAGTAGCCCCCTTGTGTAGGTGTTGAAATTTTAATCTTCCTTGTTCACGTGACTCATTAAATAATTAATGCAGCTGGTCAGAAATAGATATGAAGTCGCCAGTATTCGCACTTGATGTGGTCCTCTGTGAAGTGAATATCAACTTTCTCATTCTCAAAACAAGAAACTATTTAGGTTTTTTTTTTTTTTTATCTCACCATCCGGAGACGAATTTGGGACTAGTATGTCGTAGTGTGAGTATGCATCATTTTTTAAAAAATAAAATTAAATCAGGCTGTGTTTTATTATTTATTTCCTTACCTGTCATTCCCCTGATGAATAACGCCTGCTAATAGAATGAGATTTAAATCACTGGCATGCCGATGTGTTTTGTCAATCTTTCGTGTGTCAGCGATATTCCTAGATTTTTATGATTGATTACAACAAATACAAACACAGATGATGGCGTTCTAGTTCACAGTGTGCATGCCTGGGTACCGTGCAGGAGAGGTACCGCTTTGTTCCGTTTCTTCAGGTTCATAAATCATTCGCTTTCCCGGGCGCCGAACCAACACTGAGGCAATGCAGTTACAGCACTTCGAATTGAGAAAACAGACCTGCCTTTTAAGACACGGGTACAGGTTACGTAAGTGGGTCCAGAACAAAGTCAGTTTGTACCATGCCATTCTAATGGGCACAAATGTTTTTAGGATATAAAAAAGGATTTGTTAAATATAGTTGTTACTTTTCATAGTCTTCTGTACAACTGCAATAGAGGAAAGCACTTGGACGGGGAACTAATTCTGATTGTTTTATAAGGCATTTTTAAAGTTTCGACGTTATGAATGTTATCGATGCTGTTCTTCTCTGACTTCTGAAAGAAAGTCAGAATTTTAATTGTCCAGGGCTCCAGAATATATATGTCCCACAAAGTCACAGCTAATGTATAAACAGTATTTACCGTTTATTTTATCGAAGGTGTGATCTATGAAAGCAGTTCAGAATTGAGCCTTACATGGAAATCTTACAGTTATTCCATCTCACAGTACTAATCGGGAAATATTTGCAAACAACGATGAGAAGCAAAAGATAAAGTCAAATTAATGACTAAAACAAACACGGACAAGTGGAGAATATGTCATTTTTGTGGCATTCCCTTTAATGAACAGAAACACAAATACACACGGAATGTTCAGTAAAATGGCTAAGAAAAAGCAACTTTGATTTCCGCCTTGTAAATGACCAAAACTGTAAAACTGTAATGTCTTCTTCTTAAAACAAGCCAATGACAATCCGTTTAGATAGAATGAAAATATTGAAAAACAAAACATTATATTCAAATAAAGAAGTCAGTTTATCGACGAAACGATTCTTTTTCTTCCAAAGAACTTCTGATTAGAGCGGTTAGTACCCGATGACACCTGACTGGTCCTCAGTCGAAAGTATATCGAGGCATTTCTGTACGGCTTAACACTCAAATATGTTAACAGCTACGCGATCCCTATGAAAAAGAACGACGCGTTTTATAATTAACGTAAAACTAAAAATAATGCACGTTGTTAACTTAAAAGTACCCCATTGTTTAAGAAGCCATATTGCGTTAAAAAATAAAACATCGTGTTTTTGTTTCTGATTTTAAGACTTATCTCTTATCTCTTTTGAACAAAAACTATTTTACAATACATTTTTAAATTCACGTTGCTTCCTTCAGAAGTGTGTTTTGCTCGTTGATACTCTTTGAATGTCTTTTTATTACACGCGTGTGGCAAAATGAGATAAAATATGAACAATTTCTGACTGACGCTTAAACTAGTCAAATGTGGACTCATGCCAATTTCTCGAATTTCCAATTGATTTGTGAAGGCTCACAGAAGAGAGTCTCCATGCCTCTGGGACTAAAAGCACTGAATAAGAAAGGGGACACTTCTTCCATGTGTTAAAGATTTACAGTTTTCGGCTAAGGTCATTGTTCCTCTTTGTGGTTTTCTGTAAATAAACTACTTTAGATTTCCATGAAACTGAACCGACTTGGTTTCACTTATCATAAAGCCGAGGAAACGCGGACGGGTAAATTGTACTAATCGGACGCACTGAAAGTGCTCTGATTTACACTGCTCTTGTCTTTGTGTATGAGAATATGAAGAAAGGCCTCAGACGGGCTTCCTCGTGTTTCCTGTCTTTAATGGACCTTGAGCAAGCTATCGCCTATGGGGATGTGTTGTGTTCCAGAGTTTGTTTTATATTTGCCGCATTTTCATTTTGCTTTAAAAACTATTCGTTTCAGGATATTATAAACACAACAGAAGTTTTCATGATTTAATCTTAATCAATGCACCTATCAGAATAATTAGGAAGTGGTGTTTTGCAACGGGCGACAAAGCAGTCTGCCTTTAGATGAATAAGATTTACGTGTAAGATAATGGCATTTCGTTTTTCAAAGTTCAATAATCGTGTTTTGGTGCGAAGGCATCCGCACATTGAAAATGCAGTTGTTGGAGATGAGGTTCTTGTAGTCTAAACCATTAGAATTGTGAGTTCGAGTGATATAAGGAACTGGTTGACAGTGTGAGCAATCGCAAGAAGTCAGTTTCTGATATTCAATGTTTGAACCCGCTAATTATAGTTTCTAATAGCAGGATGGCAGCCGTGATCTCCTGTTATTCTCTTGCTTGTAGACTTGTAACCACATTGGTACGAAATCATTCCAACACCCCTGTACCTTTCTTGTCATCTGTCCTTATGCTCCTCTGAATTTTCATTCATTCTTTAAATTGTGTTTTACGCTTCAAAGACTATGATGTGATTGATACTGAGTTCGCGCCGATCCTCGACTTAAAAAAAAATGTCTTTTAAAAATAAAATCCACTCAGGTCTGGCTTTCAAACCGGCAGCTCACCGGTAAAATAAAAAAAAAGCGAAAGTTAATTCCCTTCTGAACCCTTGACGTTAACGCATCTGAAACAGCCTTGTTAGAAACTGAGTGAATCCGGTAACCTTAGCTTTTATGTTATAGCAATACATGTCAGCATTGTGTGGAGATATGTATTACCATTTGGCAAAGATCCACAGATGGTACAATATAGGCACTTAGTGTTGTACACCACCCACACGTCTGGAGGAGCACCATTGAAAATAGCAGCGATTCGAGTCACGGGGGACAGAGACAAAACAGCAGATCACAACACAACAAAGAAATATATATATATTCTTCGCCCACAATTCTCTATTTCCCATCGGCTCCTTTTTTCACTCTGCTTTCGCCTCTTTCCTAACAGACCCAAGCTCAAACCGCCTCTTATTCAGGGACCAGTGAAATCCTCAGGCTCAGAAAAAACTTTCACCCCAGTGGGAGCACATGTCTGCTATCCGTCCACGATTGTTGTGACTGTTGAAGGTTCAAGACATTCTCCAGATCCTCCTCACAGCTCCAGTGCCTTCCATATCTTCACACAGCAGCATCAGAAATAAGAACGAATCCTCCTGAGTAGCCGAGAGACATAGAAAACATTCAGGAAATCACCAAATATTCCAAAAGATTCTGAGAGCGAACGCCTGGCTGATCCGGACAGGAGATGATCTTGAGCGCCAGTCTTCGCTGTGCGGAGGTGTTGGTCTTCCATGAGTTTAAAGACCAGCCCTTGTTAAAAATGAATTAGGTACATGTTAGTATACAGTCTAAAAAAACTCTGCTTCACTTTCCGGAGATTGGGCGCCGAGACAGTGAGCTGAAAAATCAAATCAAATGACTAAAACGGGCTCGATAAGACAAAAAGTTTGGACTTGTGTAACTTCTTCTACTTCGACAGGACAATGGCTGTTGAACATGAGGGTGTCGGTATGAAGGGGCCGGTGTCCTGCGCTGATGATTTATTGTCTTAGTAAACCCTGTTCGCCCGCTCTGTGTGCCGGGAACTAACACCACTCAAAGCCCCCTACACCATGATGACTGAACAGAGCTGCAAACTTGTAAAGGGAAGGATTAGCACTGCAAGCTGACTGTCCTTTTAAAGAGACTGCACAATCTGTACACTGATTCATTGGAGCTGAAACCGACATGTTACTAGACTCACACTGGAGCCTTGCGTGACTGCAATGTACTTTTTATACACCAACACTACTACCACTGCAACTACTCCTACTAAAATAATAATAATAATAAGAAGAAGAAGAATACAACTGATTTAAAGCAAGCGATACAACTTGGAATAGTTATATTTCAGAAATTAATATTTTATTTTTTGTGGATACGTCCACCAGAGACGTCTTTTAGTTCACAAAACAATATTTTTTTAAAAAAAAAAATCGTAATGTCCTATTTTGAACTTCGTCAAAATGTCCCTCGGTTCTGCGGTTGTCCCTGTAGCCTCTCCACGCGCTGGAGCTGAGCCTTCTCATTAGAAACCTATAATTTCCAGCATCACTCAGCTGATGGTAGGAAATGCGTAAGAGCAGGTTGAGCAGGAGGGTCCCTACAGACAGAGGGGAAAAGTCCTCTGATTTACTACATTTAAGGCAACCCCATTCTTCACACTATGTTACAACGACAAAAATCAGCTAGCCATTGAGGAGCCCATTTTGCGTTTTGTCAGGTAATTATAAGTCATTTTATTTTATTTGACTGCCTTGGTGTCTGTGTGGGTGTTGAGCACGCCTAGCACAATAGCCCTACAAAGAGGCGACTATAGTGCTGAGTGATAATCAAGCTACCTACCCATTAGGGGTTTCCTACAGCAATGTCCACACATTCAAATACAGAGGATAAAAAATAAACATCGCTGGTGTGCGATATGCAGAGAGAGGTACCTTATTCCCGTCCATACGTTTCACAAACCAGTCGGTCAAAAAGCGGCTAGCGTAGTGCAGATTCGCAGGCTGTTTCTCATTTAACTTACCTTAGCACGGGTTATTTAAGTTAGGAAAGCAATCAGACGAAACATGCAGGCTCATCTCTTGTTTTCTATTAATTTCAATGCAATGCTGTGGTTTAACTTTTTAAAGTAAAAAATTAAGCGGCAAAGAATAGTTCCTTTAATGATTCACAAATTCAAATAAAAGGATTTAAGTTGACGTAGCACCACGTGAGTGCATAATACAGCGCATTATTGTGGCATTTTCCGCGGAGACCCGGGCTGGATTCGACTGTGATAATCGTCCCCCACTTTCTGTAAAGAGTCAGAGCTTTATATACTTTTCACCAAAAGGGCTCTTTTATGGACTTCGTTTTCTGCTCTCGCGGATGGATGTTTTTTTTTTCGGAGCGGAGAGAGAAGGAGCCCTGCTTTAGGAGGATGGATTTTATTTTGAGGTATTTCCGTTGATTGTTCATTACTGTGGTGAGTTATTGCTGCTCAAGGCAAAGGTCAGTTGGAAAGGCTTAGGGGTTCAGTAAAAAATGGCAGAAACAGCCTTAGCCACAGTTTATGTATATGTAATCAGCGCAATTGTGTGAGGATGCTTATATATGTCTGATATACACGAATGATTTGAAGCAAAACGCTGAGGATTTTATTTAAGCTGTTTACAGTGGGGTTTGTACACAGTTGGAGCTGCGATACGGTGTAGTTTGAGGCAGTACTCTGACCTTATTGGAACTGCATTGTTCCGGTCGAATAAAAATAATAGGTTGTTATTTCTTTATCACACCATAAATCCAATGCGGTCGGCCAATCGAGTTCTTCCTCTTAGAAAATTTGCGGAAGATTTTGTAAAATAAAAATAAATTCGTTATTTAACCTGAAAGTAAAAAACGCACCATTGTGGATTAGGTTTTAAAATATTTTTGAATGATTTTCTTACCCCACCTCAATTGTATAAACGGGTAAACCAAAATGCTGCTGTCTCGGTTGTACTCCTTCGGCAATGTACACCAGCAAGTAAATGCTTGTAACTACTACAGAGTGTGACTTGTTTTTCAAAAGTAAGCTATTTTGAAAGGTTAACTTTAAAAGATTTTCAGGGGATAGTTTTTGATCTTAGTCTCAAGGCTACATTGGATTGGTGACCTCTGGTAATGAATTTAATAATAGAGTACTGCCTTCAATAATAATGCAGTAATGCCTTTAGCTTGCATTGAACTGCTTGCCTATATATATACACTCCTTATGTTTTGCTTTAAAAATCTTTCCATGGTGTTGAGAATATGACTGCTGTCTAAAATCGTATCCAGGGCTGTGTTCAGTTCTACAAAGGTCAGGGTGCCGAGACGTGATTTATGTCTCTTAAGGTCCGGGACAGCCGCTTCTGGGCAAGCTGCCTTAACGACAGTTTCACTGCTCCTCCATCCAAATTAAATGTTACTGCATAAACTTTCAGAGCCGCTGCTGTTTTTATTATTGCCGTTGTTGGTATACCATAGAATAATTTCGGTTTGCCGTTAATGTGGTTGACGATGTTCCTTCAAGCTTTTCTTGTGAATCCAGCCAGCCAAGAGGACGAAGGGTGGGCTCGGCTGTTCTTTTGTTTGGCTGCTGGTTATTTTTTTTATCTGTACCGCATGTGAACTATCTATCTCTGTGGAACTGAAACACATTTCAAACCAAAAAAAATCTTTGAGCAATGAAATTGTTCTGTGGTTTTAAGTGTTTCAGCCGAGAACTAATTCATATAATGAAAGAAAAACGCATAGAAATTGCTTTACAATACCAAATACTCGTTCGCGGGAGATTATATATTTATTTCTTCTGTTTATCATAATAAATGAAATTTCCAAGTGAAAGAAATTATGTCTTTACTTTAAATCAACATTAATACAATACATTTTTAATTGTTCATTTCCACATATAATATATGTAGCTTACAAAAATTCGTTTACAGACAATAATATATTATATCAGTTATCCCAAAGCAAGATAAACTGATGTTTGAAATATTTATTTTCCGTTTTTATTGTTTAGCACGCAGACTGAACAATATTAATCTCACTGATTTATCCTGCTACTTTGCAGATTTACGTTTGTGTACAGGTTCCACACGAAATAGACCCTGCGACCCACGGCCCCACAGAGAGACTGAATCACAATTCGGTAAGCGATCACATCGCGTCTATTGTTTAACATTACACAAATGCATACTGTACATATAATTAATAATGCTATATTTAGTTCACAATAATCCTAATGGAATTTGACAAGATTGTATTCTTTTTCCACGCAGTAGGATATAAACAATATTGTGATCATTTAGTGGTCTTTCTAGTTTTTTCTTTGTGGTGGAGTTTGCCGCTACAAAGCATACGGAGAGAAATCACACTTCGAAAAGAAACACCCGCACATCACCTTTGGAGAAAGCCGCAGTCACTTCAGTGCCGCTTCCATTTTTTTAAATGAACAACCGGTGCCTGAAAGAACAAGGTCTGCGTCCAGCCCGGCACCGCTTTGTGCAGACTTGCCAATAAGATCTTTAGCGCCTCACGGTCGGGCTGTTGCTTCTCGCGTCTTTGATCAGATCCTCTTCGGCCTCTCGCTTTTAACTGAAATAAAGACGGCTCCTCCGAAAAGCCCATCTGCATCTGCCCAGGTTTCGTTTTGTGACATTTAACCCGGTATTTAACACGGGCTAAAAAAGAAATCCGAATCAGCACTTTGAAAGGCAAGGCAGTTAATTATTGTCCAGGAGGTCTCTCTTCAAAAGCTACATTCATCGGGTTGCTAAATTGCACGCGGAAGAATTTTTGTCAGCTTCTCCACACCTACGCCGTCCGTCTTTCTCCACTTTTTTTGTGGCGATAAATGTGTAAGGAGCAAGGCGCTGCGAGTTCCTGTTCTACACTTGTTTACTGCCTTGATGCATGAAGTCATAAATCTTACGTAGCCACAAATGACAAAAAAGCATTGGTATGCAGAAGAGACCCGCTCATATCCTTTTCTGTATCTCTTCTTCTGTTTTCGTTTGGAGGTGTAACTTCTCTCTCGTCAGAGTTCGCACCTCCGTCGTGGGAACACTGGTCTGTTTTTTGTATTTCTGTCCTATGCAGTCGAACCCAAGGCATTTTCAAATATATTTTCTAAACAAAGTGTTACAAAATCTTTCTTATTCTCCCTAATTTATATTTCACAAACATCTTCTCCTAAGGGTCAGAAACGACGGAGCATTCATTTACATTAAATACAGTTGCGCGTAAAACATAACTTTTTTTTGGTCTGGGTTGTGGGGTTTCGTTTTGAGTGAAAGTTGTTAGCAAACGTCATAATACGATCAAGAAAAATAATTTCGGAATGATTTTAAGGCATTTCCGCACTTGTGGGCAAGGTAACTTCTTCATCTTTTATAGGCAGGAGTGGGTTCCGACACTTCAGCCTCTTGTGTCTAAAGTATGGTTCATTTGCATAATTTTTCTTGTCTACAGTGACGCTGTGTTTCGGGGGAGTTCACATAGTGTCTGCACGATACTTCTGGAGTGAGCCAGACTTTAAAACAGCCGCTGCTACATTTAATATTCACACGAAACAGCCTTTTCTCTAGCGTTTGATGAGTGCAGCCGTGTGGGCTGATAGCGCTTATCTTCATGACCAGGGTGCGCTGCCACAGTCCCGGGCTTGCCGATCCAGATCGAGAAAGGGATTGGTTTCGTGCCTTTAGCAGAGCTCCTGCTACCATCTTGTCTTCCTCTTTTGTCCATGACTCCCGCAAGTGCACGCGCTATCTGTTGCTGCCCTTCGCCAAACTTTTCCTGGACTCCCATTCTATCGATTTTGTCGCTGAATGAGAAAATATTATGTTGTGTTCTGCATTTGTCGTCAGAGGCTAAGGTAAGCAGGCCAGAAATAGGCTATCAGTTGTAAATGGCGGAGTTTATGTCCTAGTGATTTATGACCGTACGACTTAAATCTCGGTTCAAGAAGAGTTCACCATCTCGAGCTTCCTTTCAAGCGGAGACGCCGATACGCGCAGGGCTTGAGCCGCAGTGCTTTGCTATTTCTGAGCTGTTTCTGCGTTTCATTAAAACGGAGGCGAAGATTCTCGCGTTATTGTGTTGTTTTGAAATTGGGCACGGCTCCTTTTAATACTGTGGTTGTCAGGGCTGTTCCCGTGTACATTCCCGTGATATTCGTTGGCTACATAATAATAATAATAATAATAATAATAATAATAATAATAATAATAATAATATCGAGCATTGCATGGTGAATTTTATTGCGATTTAAAAAAACTGGAAAGAAAGCAGAAACAAATTGTATTTGCCTCGTTATCTCAATGTGTTTTATTGCTCAAGGGGTAATGTGTCGTTATGCTTTTTAAAAAAGTTCTTCGACTTATTGTCGGAAAGTAGTTTCTTCTCCTCAACAGCATCACCACTATTTTTATTATTATTATTGTTGTTTGTTGTTATTGTTGAATTTTTTCACATTGTTTTCTAAATGCATTTAAAGACTGGAATGCTAGTGCAGAATTTTATTTTATTTCATTTGTTTAAGGTGTCTCGAACAATGTCTATTGCTAATTTACATTTTTATTTTAGTCTCTATTGCTTCAGTGACAGTTAAACGATTTATGGCTATTCACGTCGAAAGTGGAAACAGTGTAAAAAGTTGATCAGTTAGTATGTGTAATCGATGTCATCTGACTTATGTGAGTTTTCATAGCTGCGAATAAAATTAATTTCAGAGAATAGGTTTGGGATAAAGTTTTTATGATCTTCTGTGATGTCATTTAAAAGGTTATTATCATGACTTTTATGGTGACCGCTATTGTCCCTCAATATTGATTTCGTTTCTAGTCTTTAATGTGAAACACGCTATTTAATCTCACAATAAACACGAGATATGTAAGATTTGTTGGAGCAAAACAACGAAAGGTATACCATAAATATTTATCAACTTTTTTTTTAGTCTCCGACACTAAACACAACATTGACATTTTAAAAGTCAGTATTTTATGGGCCGATTTAACGTACAAGCCTGCTAAGAGAAGCGCAGGTTTAAATAAACGGCTTGCTCGCGGGTTTGCTCAGTAAACACCGTGAGTTAACAAGGCCCATTCCTTCTAACAGCGGTGCTCCTGGATCCGCGCTCTGCCTCTCCCAGTGCCGGCCACTGACCCCCATACATCAAGTCACAGCAGCCCTGCAGACAGAAGCCATTATTGCTAGGCTGGGAGAAAAGTTCAAGACGTGGTCATGGAGATGAACGGGTCCTTTAGGTGTTCAATCCATCTTCGTTCTACACGTGCACAGATGTAGAATTTGATTGTTATTTTCATGTATGCGGCACTGGACGCCTCTTCCGTAGGAGTGACTCGAGTCCTCGGCGCTTCGCTATCACCTCTAGCTCTCACGCATTATAAAATAGATACGCCATGCATTATGAAGACAGCGCGATTATTTAATAGACCCGAGCCATTCAAACTCAATTCATTTAGAGAGTCTTTTCCCAGATGCCGCTCTCAGAGTGATATTAATGTTATTTTGGAATATACTGTATATTGCAGTGTGTTTTCCAGAA